GTTTAACAGACTTGGTGAAAGAAAATAAACATGTAAACAAACAATGACAATAATCTGTGATCAGTGCTAATGACAGCAATTTAGGCAAATCAACTCAGGGATCCCAGAGGATGCAGCGAGTAAGCACCCACGGGCTGAACGAATGAATAAATCAGTGACCTTACCAAGGAACTCCGTTTGGCGTCACCTATGGCACAACAAGCAGGTACGGGAGACCGAAGCTGCCCAGGATGCCTGGGATTGCTGGCTTTGGCTGCCAACGTCACCTGCACTCGGTCGACACACGTGTACAGAGCACCCACTGTGAGCCAGGCGCGGCGCCAGGGTGACCACAGAGTGGATCCCCAGGGTAAGGTCTTGGGGTTATCCCAGCAGCCTAGAAGAGGAGAAGAAGGCCTCCCGGACGTCACTGCTCAGCAGAATGACACTTCAAAGTCAAAGGCTGAGCCCTGCAACCCACAGGCAATCCACCACCGCGGGATTTGGGGAGGGGGCGGGTCAGCCCTCCCCGAAGCCTCAGCCAGAATCCGGAGGACCCCGCACTCCCCTCTAAGTCCACCCCCAAGCCCAGCCGCGAAGCGAAACTCACCAGAGGCCCCGGTAGCTGTCACCGCGGAGAACCCCTTGCCCTGGCCAAAGTCCAACTTCTGGCAAACCCCCTTACCCTGGCTCAAATCTGCTAGTTCCTTCCTCGTCGCAACCGAACTCGGAGCGTGATGTTATTGAGGAGCAGCTGCCTCCTTCAATCGCCCACTGGAGACTCTCCTGGTGGGCGGGGCCATGTCGGTGTGGGGCGGGACATGCATGCGAAAGTCTCCGCCTTGCTCAAGCTTGGTTGAGAAGTTCACCTGCAGTTGCAGAAGGCAGGCTGTTTAAAAGCGGGCGCCAAAGGTGGCGGGAAACTGCGCCTGTGCGCCCATTGGTGAATTCGTGAGCCAATTACAAAAGAGTTGATTCCGGAGAGGGCGGGCTTATCGGTTGCCTAGAGACGCCCAAGCACTACGCCTCCAGCCTTTAGTAAGGATGAATTGGCCTTGCCCCTTCCCTCACCTGGTGCTGGAGAGTGGTGCGGGGACTCCCCGCGCTTGCCACGCCTAAACCCCAGCACACGGAATCCTTCACTTCCCCGTCGAACTCTTACCTTGGAGTTAGGCTTTCTGATTCTCCAAGGTGCCTCCTTCCCATCACCTAAACAGCTGAGATGTGTTCTAACTTTGTCTTCCTGCTTACTAGGTCCCACTTTGCTTGAATCAGTTTCTTTAATTACTAACTAGGGGCACGTTTTCCCACGTGTTTATTCACTACTTGAATTTCCTTCAGTGTGAATGTTCTTGACACTTAGATGTTAACCTGCCCCCTAAGACAGTGCTGCCCAGTTTGCAGTAAAGCCCCATACTTTATGTTCTTCCCATGGTGAAAAGGGTTCTGGTGAATATCAAGGAGTTGGTAGCAGCAGGTTCACATGTCCTTTTAAGGCTTTCTCATATATGGAGTCAAATGGTTGTTCAAGGCTCTTCATAACCTGGCTAGCTTTCTTCACTACTGTTACAGAACTTCCTTGGGATGTTCTATTCAAGAATTAGATGTAGTTGTCCCAAGGCAGTTTTATTTACTTGCAGCAAGGAAAGGAGACGGGATTCACATTCAAAGCTCTGCTTCTGGGAAGAAGAGGTTTAGCCATTGCTTATAGATACTATTTGGTCAATTTTAAGTTGATTCTTTGCAGTTGGCTACACTTACGTGGTTGAGTTCCTGTCAAGCTCATCCTGCTTACAGCTTCATCTGCAAAATATTGTGCTACATGATGCGATTTAGCAAGATAACATTAGTAAGAACTTACAGACCGTGAGACCCTGTCCTATCTAACACTACCTCACCATCCTATCCCTGTGATACCGACACTGACCCCTATAACTCCATCTGCTAGCCTATTAAGTACATAATTCGTGGCAACAGAGTGAGTGAAATCACTGGCTAAGCTACCTGTGGTTCCTAGGGTGCTTTTACTTTGCTCCAGCAATTTCTTTCATTTGTATTTGCCCTACCTTACTTCTCCACCTACTCAATCTTCAAGAAAGATGAGCACCGCCTTGGTAGCCTTTCATAACTCACACCTCCCTTCCCTGGCAGAAATGATACTTCCCACCTCTGTACTCAGTGTGCTCATCTTATTATAGTTCTAATATCTACTATAATTAGTTGTCTGTTTTACTCAGTCCAATGTTAATATCTTAAAGTACTTATTTTGCTTCTTGGACATCCGACATGCTTCATGGCCCTTGATACAGTCAAAACAAATTTGTTAAATGAGTAAATGAATGGACAAACAAATAACGAAGGGTTTTTGTGCCAGAAAAAGCAAATAAAGGCATTCAGGTAAATGGCAGTTGTTGAAACCTGAGCCAAGGTATCTGTTAGTGAGAACTAGGCTGAGGAACTTGTTAGGCCTCACTGAAGCCCATCAGCAAACTGTGTGTAGCGTCCTGACTAAAGGTTAAGATGGAATGCTATGGTAAGAATGCTAAGTGACCCCGGCCCACAAACAACTTTTTCTTAGAGAGATGAAAGCATAAAAGATGTAAGGAAGAAAAGCTCATGAGGAGACAGTGTTTATGACCCCTTACACAGTGCTTCAGAATTTGGTAAGTTCTTTCACAGACACTAGCTCATTTGGTCCTCATGACACCATCCTGTGAGGGGCTAGGACAGGCATTAGTGTCCCAGTTTACATCAGAAGAAACTGACCAAAAAAATTAAATGACTTGACCATGGCTACACAGCTAATGTGAGACAGAATTTGACCCAACATCTCCAAATCCAGAGCTTGGCACTAAATATAAAATATAAGTGAGATAGCCCTGGCCGGTTTGGCTCAGTGGTTAGAGTGTCGGTCCGCAGACCAATGAGTCTTGGGTTCGGTTCTGATCAAGGGCACGTACCTCGGTTGAGGTTCGTCCCCAGCCCTGGTCAGGGTTGTGTGGGAGGCATTGATATGTCTCACTCATGTCGATGTTTCTCTCTCCCTCTCCTCCTCTCTCTCTCTCCTTCCCACTCTATCTGAAAAAACTAGAAAAATATCCTTGGATGAGGATTTTTAAAAAAAATTATAATATATATATATATGTATGTATGAGAGATATAAGTACATAAGCACATAAGTCACAAAAGATGCAAAATAAAGAATAAATCAGAGCCCCTGGCTCTAAAAATGGATTTGAGTGGAAGTATAGATATATATTATAATCAGTGAAGTTTTCTTGACTGCCTATATCCTGTTTAATTCCTGGCTTAGGTGCCTGGATACAAAGTGTGAGGCAGAGGCAGAAAAAGACAAATACCACATAATCTTACTCATTTGTGGCATATAATGAATATAACAGTCTGAGGAATAGAGTAGGCCCAGAGACGTGGAAGTAGGGTACAGCCTGACAACCCTCAGAAGAGGGAGCAGTGGAAGAAGGATGAGATAAACCACAGAACTTATATGCATGTACGCATAACCAATGGACACGAACAACAAAGCCGGGGACGGGGTGGAGGGAGTCAATGGGGAAAAAAAGGAGAAACATCTGTAACAAAACTAAAATTTAAATAAATAAATGAATAAAACCTATTAAAAAAAAAAAAAAAACAAAGTGTGAGGCAGGACCCCTACCCTCAAGGTACCTACACTCTTTCTGGACTACAATTATACAGTTGAGTATCAACCACATGTTGAGTTTTGTAATAAACTACCAAAGTGCTTTCCACCGTGGCTGTATTAGTTTACATTCTCACCAGGACTGTATTTTGTGATCTACTTTCTCCTCATCCTAGTCAGCATTTAGTGTTGTTGCTGTTTTTCATTTTACCCATTCTGATACGTATGAGGGAATATTTCCTTGTGATTTTAATCTGCATTACCCTACTAGCTAATGATGTTGAACATATTTTCCTGTCCTTATTTGCCATGTCTATATCTTCAGAGAAATATCTGTGGGTTTTTTTGCCCATTTTCTTATTAGACTTTTTACTGTTACATTTTGAAGGGTTTTTTTAAATATATTCTAAATAATAGCCTTTTTTCCAATATGTAGTTCGCAAATATTTTCTCCCAGTCTATTGCTTGTCTGTCATCCTCTTAACAGTCTTTTACAAAAGCAAAATTTTATAATCTTGATGAAGTGCAATATCCCAGGGTTTTTTTCTTGTTTTTTGTTTTTTTTATCCTCACCCGAGGACATTTTTGTATTTATCTTCAGATAGAGCTGGAGGGAGAGAGAGAGGAAGAGAGAGAGAAACATCAATGTGAGAGACACACATCAACCGGCTGCCACCCACACGACCCCAACTGGGGCCGGGGACAAACTGCAACCAAGGTATGAGCCCTTAGTGGGAACCAAACCCGGGACTCTCTGGTCCGTGGGCTGACGCTCTAACCACTGAGCCAAATTGGCCAGGGCTTTTTTTCTTTTTTTTTTCTTTCTTTTTTTTAACCAGTGTTTCTTTTCATGGATCATGTCCAGTCTCAGAACTCTGTGCCTAACCTCTATCTTGAAGATTTGTCCCTAGGGTTTTCTTTCATAAAAGTTTCATAGTTTTACATTTTTCATTCAAGTCCATAATGCATTTGAGTTCATGTTTATGTAAAGTGTGAGATTCATTCTTTTGCCTACAGATGTCCAATTGCTCCAGCACCATCTGTTGAATACTGGCCCTAGCGCCCTTCTGCAGTCACCAAGACTGGCTGAGTCTCTCCATGGTAACCCGTAGCTCCTAAGCAGCCTTTCCACACAGCTCTCTCACCTTCAGTACCGTTCCCGCCCCTCACCCCTCATGGCCCCAAGCTGCACCCTCCCCTGCGGTTTCCCGCTCTGCCCACACCTTTGTCAAACAGAGTCCCTTTATTAAAATCTCAAATTACCCAATTTAGGCAAGCCATCCATTTCCTGTCAGGACCCTGACACATCCCACAAATGACAAATTTCCCAAATCCCAAATATCAGACATATACTGTCAACTGTCACAAAGTAATAATCATTTATTTATTTATTTTTTTGAAAAGTCATTTACAGGTATTTATAGGCAAATGGATTTTCACTGTAAGACAGATGAAGATTAGAGTGTGTCATTAAAGTAGCATGCAATCACACATTTTCTTGGTTGTTCCTTTTTGTTTTATCTGTCTGTGGCATTTGTAAGTGCAGTATTTGCTCATCCAACTCCGATACCATCACAGTCAAAGACTGATTATCCATGTGTGCCTCTCACTCATTTATACTTCCTGCATCTGTTTGCATCAGGAACTCTTTCTTGCTACCTAGTTACACTGCTCAGCCGGACTGAGACCACAGCCCTTCTCTGTCTCTGACAAAGGTGATTAGATCACCCATAAGCTTCTATGATCTCTACCCTCCTGAACACCTTCCGTTAAGCACAGATAATCAAGAACTAAAGTGTATGCAAAATTGATGAAAAATACATTATTTCCTAGTTGTACAAAAGAAAACAAACCTGTCTATGAAATTAATAGCAGAAGAAACAAAGTAAAATGATAAACCTTTTTATAACAATGTTAAGAGTTCAGTATGCTTGATTTCTGATTATTACTATCCAGAAGAAGGTTCCCATATTTTATGTAAAACCTATCAAATATATCACAATTACAAATATTAAGTTGTGTCTACATAGCCAAAATGAATGGAGTTGACTACTGTCCAGATAACTTTATAGTAATGGCCATGTGTCTACTTGTACAAGAAAGTCACAGACTGAAGCAGTTTTCTGCTACTCAACACAACCAAGTCCACCATACTTACTTATATTACTCCAGACTTTCAATTTTTTTGACTGAAAGGCTTGGAGTGTCCACTATCTGAATGTTGATCTCAGTTGTGCTGGTAATTCTGAGTGTAGACACAGACTATAAGAAAATACTTAAGTTTTCACCTTAACTATACAGACTGGTTATCAACACTAGCCCCTAATAAATGGAAATCTTGCTTTTTATAGACTCATCTTATGTTAGAGCTGAAATGGACCTCTGGATTCACCCAGCCCAGCTCTCTCATTGTACAGACAAGGAAATGGGAGTCCAGACAGGTTCAGCAACTTGCTCAAGGTCACAATGATGCCAGCCAGCCCAGCGCTTTGCCCTGCACCACGCTTCTTTATTCCATCAGTCTACATGTGGCAACTCTTCCCAGCCGTTTCACTGACCATGTTTCCTCCCTCCTGCATTCTGGCTGACGTTATCTGGAAGAGGTGTTATGGATACTCGTAGGTGAGAGACTGTCCTTTCCTCGCAACCTATCAGGAGACTGTCTCCCCACACTTCGAAATAAAGTCAGTGTTTTAAATAGCAATGGAACCAATTTGGATATTTAGTATGAAGAACACTGGTTTGTTTGCCATCTTTTAACCCATGTACTCATGAATGGGAGGGATGGAGGGAGAAATATGATGAAATCAGAAGTGACGGACAGATTGGCCCCTTCAGCGTGTGACATGCTGCAGACAGTCCAGATAGCCAAAACTGAGAAACACTTGGCCACACAACCAGGGCCCCACCCTTTACAAATGAGACGAGCCAGTGGAACAGACCTATGCTTCCAGTGGCTTTTGATTTGATTCCACTGGCACAGACACAGTCCAAATTCAATGTCTAACTGACTGTAACATTGCAGAGAAAGTGCTACTAAACAGAAAAATATAATAAAGTCAGTATCCATACAGCAAATTGCTTATTTTTGTAACAAGAAGAAACATTTTTTGGCAAATGGTTCTATAATTATAGAATATGAAGACACTTAGAACTAATCTTCCCAATATGAAAATGTCCCCAAATGATCAAGTTGAAAGGCACATACCACTGCCCTAGCAGTTCATTCAAGTTGTCTTTAGCATGTGAGATTTTAATTGTGCTTTTAGCTTGTTATCAATGCATTATGGCCTTAAAAGTGACATCCGTGCATACATATACTTTCTTTTCAAATGGACCGATCCTCTTTCCCTTCTCTGACTTCCGCTTCCTGAAGATCAGTTTTTGTCAGTCCATGATGGGCTCGGAAAGACGCACTTCATACTTCGTGTTCTACTTTATCTTGAAACCAAGTTTGAATCATCCTTGTGTCCTAGCACAAAATGGAGTTTGGTGAATTATCAGTGTGATGGTGTTCCATATTGTCATTTGTTTAAATGCAAAAGTCCTGGAATAGCATCTTTTCTCACTGGTTGTTTAAGGCTTACTTCGCTTCCAGAAGAGATGATTGGCAAACTATTATCCATGTGGTATCTGATGAGGTGGCCAACATTATCAAATACATGATCCTTGGTCCTCACCTTGAAAAGGAAGAACAAAAGCATTTAGGTTAAATGATTATAATTCTCCTGACAAATGTAAACAATCAGAGAGGGGTGGGAGAAGGCAGACATATCTCTGAAGAAGATAGTTTGCTTAATAAAAGAAGAAGAAGAAGAAGAAGAAGAAGAAGAAGAAGAAGAGGGGGAGGGGGAGGGGGAGGAGGAGGAGGGGGGGGAGGAGGAGGAGGAGAAAAGGACCCTGCTGGTGTGGTTCAGTGGTTGAGCATCGACCCATGAACATGAACCAAGAGGTCGCTGGTCCAATTCCCAATCAGGGCACAAGCCCAGGTTGTGGGCCCGATCCCCAGTAGGGGACATGCAGGAGGCGGCCAACTGATGTTCTCTCTCATCAGTGTTTCTATTTCTCCCTCTCCCTTCCTCTCTAAAAAAATCAATAAAGAAAAAAATTAAAAAGGTACTTTTTAACTCTGTATCCCTCAGTGAACAAATTTTTCATTCCCCAATACCTTTTTAAAACTGTCTCTCCCAGTTAGGAAAATGGCATGCACTTGTCACCCAATCAAATTTGCAATCAATGTCTTTGCCATATTACTGTTTGATATATTCTATCATGTCACCATTCCTATAAATATATTTTTTAATTTTTTAAAAATATTTTTTATTGATTTTTAGAGAGGGGGGCAGGAGATGAAGAGAGAAACATCGATGTGACAGGAGACATCCATCAGCAGCCTCCTGCATGCCCCCCACCGGGGATCGAGTCCACAAGCCAGGCATGTGCCCTGACCAGGAATCAAACTGGCAACCTTATGGTGCAGGGGACAATGCCGAACCAACTGAGCCACACCAGCCATGACTTTAATTTTTTTTATTTATTGATTGATTTTAGAGAGAGAGAGGAAGGGAGAGAAAAAGAGAAATATCGATTTGTTGTTTCACTTATTTATATATTCTTGTATGTGCCCTGATGTGCCCTGACTGGGGATCAAACCCACAACCTTGGCATCTCAAGACAACACTCTAACCAACTGAGCTACCCAGCCAGGGCCTACGCATTGTTGAACTGGGTTTGCTAGTGTTTTGTTAAGGATTTTTGCATCCGTGTTTATCATAGATAATGACCTGTGGTCCCCTCCCCTCCTTCTTTCTTTCTTTCTTTCTTTCTTTCTTTCTTTCTTTCTTTCTTTCTTTCTTTCTTTCTTTCTTTCTTTCTTTCTCTTTTCTTGGTTTTAGTATCAGGATAATGCTGGCCTCATAAAAGGAGTTTGAAAGTGTTTCCTCCTCTTCAATTATTTGGAAAAGTTTAAGAAGGATTGACATGACTTCTTCCTTAAATGTCTGGTAGAATCCACAAATAAGTCATCTGGACCTGGGTGTTTCTTTATTGGAAAGTTTTTGATTACTGATTCAATCTCCTTACTAGTAATTCATCTGTTCAGATTTTCTATTTCTTTATGATTCAATCTCAGTAGACTGTGTTTTTAGGAATTTATCCATTTCTTCTAGGTTATCCAATTTCTTGGCATATAACTGTTCTTGGTAATCTCTTATAATCATTTAATTTCTGTGGCATAAGTTGTTTGTTCATTTGTTGTTTTTGTTTTATAGTGCACATGAGTTAAATCTTACAGTTGTTTCTTTTCCAAATTACTTGTTTCACTTGCTATAATACTCTCAAGATTCATCCATGTTATCGCAAATTGCCATCAGTTGTAATGTCTCCTCTCTGATCTGATTTTACTTATTTGGGTCTTCCTTCTCGTTTTCTCAGCTAACCTAGTTAAAGGCTTGTCAATTTTGTTTACCTTTCAAAAAACCAATTCATAGTTTTGTAGACTTTTCCTATTGTTTTGCTAGTCTTTTTCATTTATTTATTCTCTAATATGAATTATTTCCTTTCTTCTGCTAATTTTAGGCTTAGCTTGCTCTTCTTTCTCCAGTTCCTTGACATGTAAAATTAGGATGTTTATTTGAGAGCTTTCTTTTTTTTTTTCAATGTAGGTATTTATTACTATCAACTTCCTTTATATTGCTTTTGCTGCACCCCCTAGTTTTTGTTATGCTGTGTTTTCATTTTAGCTTGTCTCCAGATATTTTCAAATTTCTCTTTCACTTCTTTGGTTGTTCAAGAGTGTGTTGTTTAATTTCCACATATTTATAAATATTGTTGTTTTCTCTCTGCCATTAATTTCTACTTTCATCCCACTGTGATTGGAAAAGATACTTGGTAGGATTTCAATCTTATTAAATTTATTAATACTTGTGCCCTGGCCAGTTTGGCTCAGAGGTTAAAGAGTCAGCCCGTGGACCAATGAGTCGCAGGTTCAATTCTGGTCAAGGGCACGTACCTCGGTTGCGGTTCATCCCCAGCCCTAGTTGGGGTTGTGCAGGAGGCAACCAGTTGATGTGTCTCTTTCACGTCGCTGTTTCTCCCTCTCTCCCTCTCTCTCTTCCTCCCACTCTATCTGAAGATAAATAGAAAAATATGCTCAAGTGAGGATTTAAAAAAATCAACTTGCTTTGTGAGCTAACAAATAATCTATCCTAGGATTTGTGACCTAACATATTAATGTTACAAATGTGCTTGAGAAAATTGTGTATTCTGCATGTGTTGGGTAGAATGTTCTGTATATGTCTGTTAGGGTCATCTGATCTATAGTACTGTGCAAGTCCTCTGTTTCCTTGTTGATCTTCTGTGTGGATGTTCTACCCATTATTGAGGGTGTAGGACACTGAGATCCCCGAGTGTTTTTCCATCTATTTCTCCCTCAGCTGTGTCATTGTTTGTGTCATATATTTGGGTGCTCCACTGTTAGGCACATATATGATGATAACTGTTATATCTTTCTAGTGAGTTGATCCTTTTATCATTATATAATGTTATTCTTTGTCTCTTTTGACAATTTTTCACTTAAAGTCTACTTTGTGTGATATAAATATGGCCACCCCTGCTCTCTTTTGGTTATCATTTGCATGGAATATCTTTACCTATATTTTTTAAATATTTGTTATTTATTTATTTGTTTGTTTGTTTATTTATTTTTAGAGAGAGAGAGATAGAAATATCAGTGTGAGACAGAAACATCAATCAGCTGCCTCCTGCATGCCCCCCAATGGGGACTGAGCCCATAACCCAGGCATGTGCCCTGACTGGGAACTGAACTGGGACCTCTCAGTCCAGGGGACAATGCTCAATCCACTGAGCCACACCGGCTGGGCTCTTTACTTATCTTTTCACTTTCATCTATGTGTGTACTTAAATTTAAAGCAAGCCTCTTACAGAAAGCATATAGTTAGAACTTTTTAATCCATTCAACTGTTCTACATCTTTTGATTAGAGAGATTAAACCATTTACAATTAAAGTAATTATTGATAAGGACTTACTATTACCATTTTGTTGGTTTTAGTCCAGTATCATTTCTGTCTACGGGCATCCTCCACTCCAGCCATACATTTTTTTTTTTTAATTCCTCACCTAAGGAGATTTTTCTACTTATTATCAGATAGAGTGGGAAGAAGGGAGGGGGAGAGAGAAACATCGATGTGATAGAGCCACATCAACTGGTTTCTTCCCTCACAACCCGACCAGGGATGGGGACAAACCACAACTGAGGTATGTGCCCTTGACCGGAATCAAATCCGTGACCCATTGGTCCGCGGGCCAACGTTCTAAAGGCTGAGCCAAACCAGCCAGGCTCCAGCAATACATCTTTCATTGGCTTAATGGCATTCCATTGCTCTGTCCGCTCCTCTGGCTCCTTTCCTGCTCTCCAAATGCTCCCCCTTTTAAGATCATGCCCTCTTTCATCTTAATGTCAGACCCTGCAAGAGGCTTCCTGTGGGCCCCGCCTACAGCACTCCTCTGTCCTGAGAAACACCGTAACATTCTAGTTGAACTATTTATGTCATTCATCCTTATAATTAGTTATCATTCTATTTTATGGAATGATAAGCACTCTGAGAGAAAGGACTAAGTATGTGATACCAAGCAAAGTCAACTGTGAGTTCCTGTGCTTCCATGTAGGTATTCATTTAATTCACTGAATGGAATTGCGAGGGGCAGAAAAAGGTTATCCTCTACTTCCTCCTACAGGGGTGCTCCTACCAAACCCCTCCACCAACCTCTATTTAGGACTTGCTGCTCCAGCTGGAGGGCTCAAGAAAAAGTAAACCCTTAGCCTTGAACACTCTCCAACAACGTCAGGTTTGGGGCCTGTCGTTCAGAGTAACCTCCGTTACAGCATCCTGGAAGGACTATCATGAGAAGTCAACAATACCTTGCCTTCAGGATCCACCAGCAGAAGATGTTTTGCCTGGCCTCCCTGCAGTCCACTCAGCACGTACTGGCCGGGAGATGTTGCACTCTCTCGGACCAAAAAGTCCCCATCCTTCACCAAGAGGCTCTCGGCTGCCTTCCTGCTCAGCTTGCCATGGTAGCAATCTTCATTCCGCAGCTGCTGCTTAATGTGTGGCAAAGAATGTGAGCTGGCACATTCTTTGTGAGCCGTGGCACCTGGCTGCACCGTTTCTGGTGCTTCTGAAGCCAAAATACAAAAAGAGACATCACCAAGTTACCTCTTCATACATCCATTTATTCAGTCATGCATTCACTCAGCGAATATAACTTGAGGCCCTACTATGTGCCAGGCACTATTTGCCATCAGTTGTAATGTCTCCTCTCTGATCTGATTTTACTTATTTGGGTCTTCCTTCTCGTTTTCTAGTTAAAGGCTTGTCAATTTTGTTTACCTTTCAAAAAACCAATTCATAGTTTTGTAGACTTTTCCTATTGTTTTGCTAGTCTCTTTCATTTATTTATTCTCTAATATGAATTATTTCCTTTCTTCTGCTAATTTTAGGCTTAGCTTGCTCTTCTTTCTCCAGTTCCTTGACATGTAAAATTAGGATGTTTATTTGAGAGCTTTCTTTTTTTTTCAATGTAGGTATTTATTACTATCAACTTCCTTTATATTGCTTTTGCTGCACCCCCTAGTTTTTGTTATGCTGCGTTTTCATTTTAACTTGTCTCCAGATATTTTCTAATTTCTCTTTCACTTCTCTGGTTGTTCAAGAGTGTGTTGTTTAATTTCCACATATTTATAAATATTGTTGTTTTCTCTCTGCCATTAATTTCTACTTTCATCCCACTGTGATTGGAAAAGATACTTGGTAGGATTTCAATCTTATTATTATATTTACATAATGCTGTTTCTGGAACAAATGGGGTTTTTGGTTTCAGAACTTGCAACAGGCTCTAATTTAATGGTAGATCTAAACACTGCCTTTGGCTTCTGTTACCAGGAAAGGCTTGCCCAAGGGCAGGAGTTTTTCTTTCAGATGAGAAATAGAATTGACCCATGAGAAATGCTGTTATAACTGCAACAAGAGGTTTTTACATCCCAGGGGCTGTATGTTGAAGAGAAAGAAGTTTATGCTGTATCTGCATTACAGATAACTTTTAAGACTTTCCCAAATTCTTTGAAAATGTCTACAGTAACTATGGGTGATGCCAGATTTTTTTAGCATTTAGCTTTAGAAAATAACCACAAATTACTAATGTGCTTCGGAGATCTTCTAACCCAATACTTCAAAGCTATGCTGAGCCTCACAGTATTCCTATTAAATGACTACTCTGCTGGTCGAGTCATTCACTTGCCATTCGAGTATTCATTGCCTGGACAAAACAGTCAATCGAGTAAAAGAAAGCAAAGCATCAGGGAGGCGCAGCCTGAGACAGCTCCCCAGTCTCTGCAGAATAAGTGTTATCCAGAGTCGAGAACACTGGGGATGACAAGATACATCCAGATAGCACTTAATAATGCTATTGAAACTCTTAGTGGTAATAATTATTGTGTAGTTTCCATTTATCAAGTATGACAGGCACTGCTCAATGCTTTTGTTTGACTCTCAAAATCAGATAGGCAAGGAGATGGATCTTTACAAAGGTTAGATGACTTATGCAAAGTCGCACTGCTAATATGTTGTAGATCTGAGATTTGACACAGGTCTGATTCCAAAGCCCGGGTTATTAATCACCACCCTGAGGCCCTGCCTTGCCTTGCCTTGCATGTGAAAATCTTTCCATTTGCACTACTGGTCTAGCCATTCCACCTCTGTGATGCCCACAAAGGTCCTTAGAAGATAACAAGGCTGTCAGGATGATATGCAGCATCTCCAGAAGTATTAACATAAAATTCTTACATCTGAATCCATGTAAAAGTCAAATGTTCATTCCGGCAAAGTTACCAGGAAATTAACCACAGAAGTCAGACATTGTCTTTTTTTTTTTTTTTTTATCTTTATTGTTGGATGTAAAATGTATTACAGATGTTCCACATTTTTCCCCCATTAACCCCCTCCTCCCCACACCCGCCCCCCTCCCACCTTTTCCCACACTATTGTCTGTGTCCATTGGTTATGCATATAAGTTCTTTGGTTTATTTCTTCCCATCCCCCCCAACCCCTTTCCCTTTGAGGTTTGTCAGTCTACCAATGAATTTGTGCTTCTTAATCCCTTCGCCTTTTTCACCCATTCCCCCAACCCCCCTCCCAACTGGCAACCAACAAAATGTTCTCTGTATCTTTGAGAATGTTTCTGTTCTACCTGTTCATTTTGTTTGTAGATTCCATTGTTGATAGATATGTATTCATTGCCATTTTGTTTGTTCATATATTTTCTCTTTTTCTTCAAAAAGACCCTTCATCATTTCATATAATAACGGTTTGGTAGTGATGAACTCCTTTAACTTTTTCTTGTCTGGGAAAGTTTTTATATGGCCATCGATTCTAAATGACAACTTTGCAGGATAGAGTAATTTTGGTTGTAGGTTCTTGGTTTTCATCACTCTGAATATTTCTTGCCACTCCCTTCTGGCCTGCAAAGTTTCTTTTGAGAAATCAGCTGACAGCCTAATGGGAACTCCCTTGTAGGTAACTAGCTGCCTTTCTCTTGCTGCTTTTAAGATTCTCTCTTTGTCTTGAACCTTTTGCATTTTGATGATGATGTGTCTTGGTGTGGGCCTCTTGGGGTTCATCTTGTTTGGGACTCTCTGTGCTTCCTGGACTTGTATGTCTGTTTCCTTCACCAAGTTAGGAAAGTTTTCTGCCATTATTATTTCAAACAGGTTTTCGATTTCTTGTTCTCACTCTTCTCCTTCTGGCACCCCCAAGATGCGAATGTTGGCATGCTTGAAGTTGTCCCAGAGGCTCCTTACACTATCCTCATTTCTTTGGATTCTTTTTTCTTTTTGCTGTTCTGATTGGGTGTTTTTTGCTTCCTTATATTCCAAATCTATGGTTTGCTCCTTGGATTTACATACTCTATTATTGAAGCTGTGTAAATTATTCTTTATTTCAGTTAATGCCTCTTTCAATTCTAACTGTGTATCCATGATTTCTAACTGGTCCTTTTTTATGCTCTTGAGGCCCTCCCTAAGTTCACTGAGGTTCTCACTAAGTTCATTGAGCATCCTTATAAGCAGTATTTTGAACTTAGTATCTGTTAGGTTGCTTATCTCCATTTCGCTTAGTTCTTTTATTGGGGTTTTGTTCTGTTCTTTCATTTGGGACCTGTTTCTTTGTCTCCTCATTTGGGCTGCCTCCCTGTGTTTGTTTCAGTGTATTACTTAATGAGAGGTATGGGGCTCGCTGAGACCAGATGCTGCTCGTTTGAAAGAATTTAGGAAAAGCCTGAAGCAGGATCCAAGACAGGCCAATCCTATGGTTAAGCAAGTGGCAACAGCTTGGGTGGGCTTGAAAGTTGGGTGGGGTGGGGCGGGGCCTCAGGGAGTCAGCAGGGCGGGGCTACCAGTGTGAGCCAGGTTGCTGGAGTCCCAGATATGGCGACTGTCTGCCGCCCCCTGGAAGGGCTCACCAAAGGAACAAAGGCCTCTTACAGCACGTTTGTCCCGGAGAAAGCCCCCTCTCCAGCCCTCGCTCCAGTGGCAAACCGCTCAGTCCTTCCCTGTATGTCTCTGGTGCCCCTTGAGCTGCCTCCCCTCCAAGCTTAGAGGGAGAGAGTCCGACAAGTCCGTGCGCGGGCCCTTTAAGGAGCTGCCTGGGGCTCCAGCCGCTTCAGCTTCCCTGAGCCTCAGTTCCTGCTGGTTTTTCCAGCCAGAAGTTATGGGGATTCTCTTCCTGGCACTGGAAACCTGAGCAGGGCACCTGGTGTGGGACGGGGACCCCTCAGTCCTCAGGAAGGACCTTCCCAGCCGCGGGAGCCTCCAGATTTTTATCTACCACACGTGGGTGTGGGACCAGCCCGTCGGGCGGCCGCCCCTCCTACCAGTCTGGATGTGGCTGCTGCTTTAATTCCGTAGTTGTAGGGCTTCCATTCAGCTTGATTTCAGGTGGTTCTGAATGATGGTTGTTCTGTAGTTTAGTTGTAACTTTGATGTGGTTGTGGGAGGACGCGATACCGCGTTTACCTACCCGCCATCTTGACCGGAAGTCAGGCTTTGTCTTTTTTAATGCAAAGGATGTTTTGCATAAAAACCAGCCTTCACCTTTATAAATGCAAAGGAGTGTTTACAAGTCCTTATGCAAGGACCACACAAATGAAAAAATCCTCTGGATTCTGAGACTTACAATTTATACAAAACAATCCTATGAAGTCACTGATATAGGAAACCAGTGCCCTAAGGACACAATCCAGTTCTTCTGTTAATAATGTTAGTTTCATCCCTGCTTAAGAACTTCTCTACCTAACACAATTATAATGCAGTACTCACAAACTTATCTTTTTAAAATATCTTCAGTCTATATCTAGTGTCTATAAATATTCTCCCCTACAATCAAGTCTTTCTATAGTTGCCGGAAAAAGCCTGAAGTAATGTGTCTAGAGTTGATGTATAATATTTGTAGGAGCTCCTAGTGCCACCTGCTTTCAGGCATACAGGGAACTTCTGATGAGTAGCTATGTGTGTGTTTATGTTTGTGAGAACGTGTCTGTGCAAGTGTAGAGAGAAGCATATGTGCGTGGCACACAGATCTTGGTGCATGATGGCTTTTGGTTTATTCCGAGAGTGTGGTGGAGAGCTTTTGGACAAGGATGCAACAAAAGAAAAAGAGACCTTATATCATCTTGAAAAGAGGAACAGATCATGGGCCAGCTAGAGGATCTGGACAATATTTTCCCAATGATTTCCCAAATTAGCACAAGGAGAAGCTACACTGTGCTAAGAGATTTCAACCATCCAAACATTTACTAAAAATCTAATTCTACTAAAAGAGACTATCTCACAGACTTTTGTACATTTTTGTTTTGATTTTAAAAGTAACACTTGCTAATCCTTTTAAATCTTGGGAAAACAAAGAAAAGTAATCACCTACAGTCCTGTCACCAGCCATAATCACTCTCAACGTGGTGGTGCGTTATTTGCTATCGTGGTCCTTTCCTTTTACAACATTAACTTTGAGAAAGATAATCATAATTTAAATACAGTTACTTATTTGTAATTTCCATACACTATTTAATAAATTATTGACTTGCTATATTTTCTCAAAAGTAGTGAAGGTTAAGGAAACCCACTCTGGATTTAACTGAGACCAAAAAAAGAACAAAGGGACAGGAGCCATGGAAGGAAGTAACCTCATGTCATCATGGAGTTCTCATTAGCAACTGAAGACATAGTGTTCACAATCAGAACTTCATGAAAGCACATGATAGATATGAATATCCACACCCACATGCATCTGATGGGCAAAATCTCTGAAAAAGGGAATATAGCTTAAAAAAGGAGAAAAAAATCTGACATACAAAGTCTAGAATAAACCATTGCAAGTGATGCTGATGAGAGGGAGGATGACACATTTAAAGAAACAAAACCTGCCTTGGCCAGTTTGGCTCAGTGGTTAGAGCACCATCCCGTGGACCAATAACTCCCAGGTTCGATTCTGGTCAAGGGCACGTGCCTCTGTTGTGATTTGTGCGGGAGGCAGCCACTCAGTGTGTCCCTTTCACGTCACAATGTTTCTCTCTCTCCCTCTCTTCCTCTCTTTTCCTCCCACTCTATCTGAACAAAAATGAAATAGTGTCCTCGGGCGAGGATTAAAAAAAAAAGAAGAAGAAGAAAAAGAAACAAAACCAATGTGAACTGTGAAGATAGCATCTTGATGTATTCAGTTTTTTAAAAACACATGTAAATTAATGTTTTGATAATATTGATTATTATATTATCAAAGGACTGGAAAAAATTGTTTATAGAATTTAAAAATGTATACAAAAGTCAGGATAGCAGATAGCCACATACCTACAGATAAAATTAGAAGAGGGATACAAACTTGCAAGAAGAGTATCTGGGTTAGGGGACAATCCCCAGGTTTCTGTTACGGGAAGGAAAGCCTACCCTTTCTCCCCACATGTTATAACAACTCCACCTCTGACTCAGGAAGACCATCAGTAGTGAATTCTCTTTATTCATGTAGTTATATTTTATCAAGCTGCCATGAACACTGAATGAGGGAAAAGTGAACCACTGTCCCTAGGGGATATGCAGGGCGAAGTTCCTCCCAGCCTCAAGTCACAGCATTTTCATCAGTCATACAGAACCTTGTTTTACGTGTGTTTCTGTTTGAAGACACCTTATGTAGCAGATATTGCTGGTTCATTAACACTGAATCATGGCCACAGCACTGTAACTCTCCTGAATGAAGCCTGTCTAACACACATGTTTTCTTGGGAAGGCACGACACAGCCTTCCTGAGCTTAAGACTGCTAGAGAGAACTTCAGCACACTCGGAGGCCATTTTAAACAGCAGAACCATGGAGAAATAGCACAAAATGTGAACAACATGGCACTACATGGACAGGACAAGGCATCCTCCAGGCAGCAAGAAAGAATAAAGAATATTATGGGTTGGTTCATGCAAAACTGACTCTAAGTGAATAAAGCAAAATCCTACTGTTTTTTGGTAAATTACACTGCCTAAGAAATGACAGTCTCTTCTGGTCTCTGGCTGCTGAGCCGTTAAAGCAGACGCCAATCTCTCCAGCCCACACCAACAAGAAATAGGCTGTAAAGGCTGTGAAGCCCCCAAGAAAGGCACATTGTCCACTTTAGATGTACACGTGGAGGACAATGGCAGGAACATCCCAGAAGGCACAGCCGCAGCCCACGGGTAACAGCAGACAAGGAGGTCTTCTCCTAGAGCAAATCATCTTCTCCCCCTTCCAGCTCAGGGGCCTTCACAAATCCTGCCTGGAAAGATGCAGTAATCACCAGAACCAGTGACCGCTGTGCATTTCGCATGCTTCCCTTTTGTAAACACGAGTTTGCATGGTGGTTATCTTATTCCAATTCCACCAGTAATATTGGTTGTGGCAAATTATAAGAATCCCTATCTAAGCTTGATGGAGGGAACTCACATCACCCAGCTGTCATGGACTTTTAAGCTAGATGCTGTGATCAGACGGGGTATTTGCAATGTGTTCCTGTGGGAGAGGGCTAAGATGCTCCATGTGAAAAGAGCCCATGGACACTGGGGTGGCAGAAAGGTAACAGAGACAGAGATTCATCAATATCTATTCTCCCTCTCATTACATGACGGTTTTAGCTAGGCGGATGGTCACTCAGCTATAGCAGGACTTATTTACCTTCTACCAATGGCAGGAATGATGATATGGATTAATTTTGCCTTTTCACATTATTAAATTGTTTATGGCAAAAGGCAACATTTCTCTGCTTGAGTTATGAACATTTTTAACATCAAAAACTTGATTATAAAGGAACTGCAGCTGAGAACAAGAAACACAACAGATCGCCCGATTTGGGCCATCTCTCTAATATGTTGCTGCTCTGAACAGTCCATGACATAGAAGCTATCAAGTGCATAGTCTTATAAAGTTACTTTTAAAACCTGAGGTCCACACACTTTTTTCCAAAAAGCTGTCCCTCTAACAAATATTACCTTATCCACCCAGGATGCTCTCCAAGGTAGTTCAGTTCATTCTAGGAGTCTGCTATCATTGCGAATCCCATTATCCATGGCACAAGATGCCCTCTGTGATGGACACATGTACACTACCCAGATTCCCCCTCAGGGAAGGACCAAGTGCCCCCAGTGTCAGCAGCCAATCTCCAGCTAACCATTCCCTGAGGGTCTGCCCCTGTGCAGAGAGCACCCTGCCCTCAGGCAAGCCCTCGTGTGGTCTACATCCAAAGACTGAGAGAAGTGGGCCCAGTGTGGGGCAACTCTGATCGGCCCATATGCTCTGCAGAGCTGGCTGTTGTCAGACCTGCATGGTAGCTCCATCTCTCCCCTGCCCAAGCCCGCTTGCTGCACGTCCCTTCCTGACCATTGATCCCAATAAAGACGCCACATGACAAGCCCTATCTCAGTGTCTGCTGACAAAGAACCCAATAGGGATCCTTGGGAGCTGAGAATGACCTTGGAAAGCTTGTAAGAAGATGGCCCATTTGCCAACCGGCTGGCGATGAGGACCTCTGTTTCTCAGTCCAGAGAGTTAAGGTGATCTGGTGAAGCCAAAGTTTAAATTCCTTTACATTTCATTTTAAATTTCACCTTGCCATCTGGCCACACAAGCTGTAGAGCTGCCCTCGGCCATTCCAGAAGGGCTCCCAGGGCCAGGGAACGGGCTTGTTCAGCGACAGTTCCCCACCCTTGCAATGAACCACATTTGACACCAAGCCAATCTCTGAACCCAACAAGCTTCGATATTTTATAAAAAGCATGTTTTGTTTATTTATTTTTCAGTTGATTGTAGGCTTTTGGCTAGTTTTTGCTTTTGTTTATTTATATTCCTGTTTCTGCATTTATCCCTGGAAGCAACTGGCAAGAAAGTGATGTATTTTAAGATTAAGTAAAATCTTATTGTTTTCACTCATGGTATATGGTTTTAAAAAGGAGCCATCTTATTTTAGTGCTGTATAGATGACTTACCAAGGGGTTTTGAAATGAATAAAATTAACACCATCATAAACAGAACCAAAATCATGGTGTTTGTTCCTCATGCAAACCAACAGGTTCAGAAGCACCTCCTGGCTTTGAGGTCCTTCTCTCAGCAAGAGCACACAGCAGAAATCACACGTTGGGAGTCAGTTTAAAGTATGTGAAAGATTATTCACAAACACCCAAACCTTGAAATCCATTAGCATCTGTACAATGTTCTGTTAATAACTATGTTATTAACAGTTATTGTGGTGAGGGTTTGAGGTAAGAAAGACCCCTTTTAGTTCCAGAAAATGAGGCCAAGGAAATAGCCATCTTTAAGATGAGTTAGGTAGTGAGTTGAATAGTAACCCCAAAAGGATAGGTTCAAGTCCTAACCCCTTATGCCTGTGGATGTGACCTAATTTGGGAAAAGGGTCTCTGCAGATGCCATTAATGACCTCGAGATGAGATCCTCCTGGATTTAGGTGGGCCATAAGTTCAGAGACTGTTGTCTTATAAGAGACAGAGAGGGAGATTGGAGACACAGGGGTGGAGGCCATGTCAAGACAGGCAGAGGTTGGAATGATGTGTCCACAAGCCAAGATACTAGAAGGGCAGGGAACAGATTCTTCTCCAGAACTTTCAGAAGGAGCCAACCCAGCTAACATCTTCATTTGGGGTTTCTGGCCTCCAGAACTGTGAAACAATACATTTCTGTTGTTTTTAGACACCCCAGTTGTGGTAATCTGTTACAACTCCCACAGGAAACTCATAGACAGAAAGCAACTACTCACTCTCATGGTGCCATGGGCTCCCCGGCAGCTGGGCTGGGCTCTGATTTCGGGCAGAGCCGAGAGCACAGTGAAGGGCCTGCGTGTTGATGTAGCAGGGGTCGTCAAAGAGATCCCCTCGACCGGTGTGCTGCATTAACGAGGCGTCTCTCTGGGCCTGTGTCGCTCTCTCATGGGCATTACCTGCAGCGATTAGTCGTGATCAGTGTCTCATGTTCTGCTTTGCAAACAGTAACTAAAACCACATTTGAGTGTAGAACTGCTAGGAAGTGAAAAGCCACCCCATCCCCTCCAAGAAATGAATACTGACTTTTAGATTTGACTTGTAAAAATAAGATAAGCTCCCTTTTGAGGAAAAGCTCCCCCTCGTTGGTCTCCCCACCCCACTGCTTCAGACAGAAAAGGAGCAGGAAGAACTCAAAGAAGAACAGGCAGGGAGGAAAAGGGCCGACTGCCCAGCCCACAGCACAAACCCGCAGACAACACTGCTCAGAGCTGCAGCCCAGGAGTCGAGAACACACACGCCACATGGACCTTGAGTATCAATGATTTAAGCTCCTTTCCAAAAAAACTCACTGCTTGATTTAAATTATGAAGAGCAGGAAGTCTCTCTCCTCCCCATGCCCAAGGTCTTGCTCTGCCCAGCTCAGCCTGGCAACAACCGCTGGTGTCTCCTGTTGTTTAACAGAAAGCACTCCCCCTCAGGTTATCTCCTCCTCCCCTTACTCTGTCCTCTCCCTCTCCAGGCTATTCTACCCATTATGGCCCACATGACCTTTTCCAGAACTGAAAATCTGATCCTATTTCTCAGAGCTTCAGAACCCTTTCATTCCTTCCCGTGGCATCTTCAGCTGAAGCTCGGTCTTCAACAAGCCCTAGGCTCTGCTCCTGGTCACCCAGCTTCCCTGTGCCCGTCCTCCCCGGGGTCTGCCCCGGGCTCACGTTGGCTTCCTTGCAGTCTAATCTCCACCGCCAGGCCATCTTCTCTGACTGACATGCTCTTCTCTCCCCTTCCCCATCATCTTCATCCTTCAGTTGTCAGTTTAAACCCCACTTTCTCAAGAGAGCCTTCCCTGACCTCCTCAGACCAAGCTGTCTCTCTGCTTTCCTAGCAGTCTGTACTTTACCTTTGAAACCCGCGTTGCAAGAGCCATCACTTCTGTTGCTTATGTTATTATTTTTCAATGTGTGGACTACCTCTAGACTGCATGTTCCATGAAGACAGGGATCCTGTCTGTTTTGTTCACGGCTGCAGCCCTTGCTCCTAGCACATGCCCGGCACATGCAATGACATCAGCAAGGCTTTCTGGATGAATGGATATGAGCACCATATTTCACTACCTGATGGCAGGAAGTCAAAGTGCTTTGTACCACCCAGATGGATCTGTCTTGAGAATGCCAGGATGGAATGTTTTTGCTTTTCCAAGGAAACTAGTGCCTTTACAGTTTGGGCCACATGCGCTGTGAGACCACCAGGAGGCAGCACATGAGGAGAGACACTGATGTTCCATCGTCTTACTGCGAAACATCAGTCCTTCTGTTGTTTCCGTCATTCAACCCCTTTCACGTGGTCCAAGAAGGACCAGTTTCATATTGGCTTTCACATAGTGCTACGATTCTTATAGGACATAGCATGAGACACCGAGTACGGGAAGCCCAGCCAGAAGACAACAGCTCTTTCTACCTGCTCCTCCTTTACAGCTTGTCTGTCTGTCAGCTTTACATGTCACCTTGTGCCACGTCACAATCTGTATATGGGGTGTCCTCAGGGAGGAGTGGGAGGGGTTGACAAGGCACCACATTTGTTTGCAGCATTTTACAACACATGACAGTCTCAATTTGCTTGGTTAAGTGGATTTATGAAATGTATTATCTAGTTTAAACTAAACTTACTTTCACAATGGATAAATGGCTAAAAGACCACTGCAAAGAAATAAAGGACTGAAGATTATTCTTCTTAGTACAAACTCCCCCTTAGCAGCATTAGAGCTTATAAGAGTCATCTAATTAGATCCAAAGCTTGGTCTACTTGAAGTTAAAATTAAGATTTGAAATGTGGGTTTATGTCCATTTTATTTATAAATAAATGCTTAAAATGTATATTGGGCCTTGAGATATTATTTAGTGGCAGTATTCAGCCAATGTAATTTGAAGGACATGTTTTAAAAATGTGTATTTATTTTAACTTTAATTTTTACTCTAACATTTTATTTTTGTGTGTTTTATACATCCATAATACATTAGCATATGTATCTATAACTTACACATGATTGAATTATTATTTAGGGGTGCCTTCTCATAAACATTTATTCAAAGTGGAATATGGTCAGAAGTGTTTGCAAGTGGTGTGCTTCTAAATCAACATGGACCTGACTTTGGATCCCCATTTTATCTCTTACTATGTATGTGACCTGAGCCATGTGACTTAGTGACCTCTCCAAATTGTGGGGTTGGGGAGTTTGAAGATGGACATTTTGTAATCTTGTATTAATGCACTTTCAACTTTGGGTTAATACATTTTCGAAAACCTGGCCCACCCAGGTGCATTGAATGCTTCATTTGCATGTGAATAAGGGTTTGTTATCTTTTGGCTTCAAAGTCTCTTCCTGTAAAAAGCAAGAGACAAAGCTAGGGTGTATGGTTTGCAGAAATGCCATCTCAAGGAAATAATTGACATAAATCCACTTGAAACCTGGGGGTACCAATCTGCACCAATCTGCCAATAAATGAGACTGCGTCCAAAGCTCTGGAGCATTTGCTCCCTTGCAAAGCTCCCCCTCACTCCAAGCAGCATGTGCTTGTAGTTTCATTGTGTTGCACCGATACTGGCAGGCCAAGAGATGGCACCAAGTGCCAGTTTTCATATTTGTAAAATGGGGGTTGCCTTGCTTAGAATATAGTTGTGAGGATTAATTAAAGAATGTGGCTGGGACACTCAATGAGCACACAGCCTGCCTCATAGCAGGCATTCATCAAATGGTTCCTATCAAGGCTCAGGTACAGACTTATTCACTGATGCCAGGCCCTGCACAAGGTGCTTAGCTCTTGCTGTAATACCCTCCCATCCCTTTCTTTGCCTAACTTCTATTTATCCTTTAAAATTCCACTCTGAACCCACCTCCTCCAGGAAGCCTTCCCTAAGGTCTTCCCTCCCCTAGCCTGGGTAGATGCCACTTTCTGACATACTGTAGGTATCTACAAATCCCCTGAGTCCTTCAGGAGAGACTAGAATCCACTTATCTGTGTATCTTCTGCATCTTCAGTGCCTGGTAGAAAGTAGATGCTCAAAAGAAAAATGTCAGCTGAATGAACAGATGGCTGAGTGTCTACCTGTGACCCCACCACGTTCTGAAGACCCTGCGCTGACCTTGAGCACAGGGAGCTGACTCATGTGCCCCCACAAAGCACTGACATGACTGACCATGTCATGTCTGCCATCCCACAAGACTGCACAAGAGTACCAGTGTCTATACCCAGTCTCTCCTGAAAACTACCATTCCTTTTTTTTTCCAATTATGCCATTAAATTTAAGTCAGCAATGTCTTCTTACGTTTTAAAAAAGGTATCTCACCCGGTGCCCACATTTAAAATCTCTCTAGGGTGAAGTGTATGGTTGCTGAGAGCTTTGCCACACACGCCAGCAGCACGCATGCCAAAGCCTTCTGTGTGGCATTGCTCTGGGAGCCAGCCAGCCAGCCCAAGAGATCTGTGGCAGGAAATAAATACGTGCACAGGGTGTATGCTGTAAGTACCGACGTCTGTAAGTGCAAGCCTTTAGGGTTAGTGGGAATGTAACGTCTCTTTGATTAAAAATATCAACATTTCCATTTTAACTTGAAGGTTGGGAAACATTATTCTATTTTGCTCATTGCTTTTTTTTCATAAGGGAACTTATTATTAAGGATAGGAATATTTTATACATCTGGCAATAAATACAATTAACCCCAACAACCAGAAGCCTGTTGCAGTATTTGTAATACACCAGAATTCAAGTTTAAGCTAATATTTGAATAAATCAGTGTCTTGGGAGGAAAAAGCCAAACCTTATTGAAAATATTTGTATAGGTGTCTCTCAGATGTTGATGTATGAATCTCTGGGGAAAGCCATAAAAATGTCCATTTACTATTCTGGCAAGTGCTATTAATCTGCTCACTGGTCAAGAATTTCAGATCACTTTTAAAACATATGCCCAAGTAGTCACAGGCAGGCTCCAACATAGGAACACCCAATTTTTGGGTGTCTGTGGATGGAAGGACACTGAGTTAGGGATGTCCTTCTTGCCACAACGGGAGGAACCATACTTGTTGTCGCCACTGGAGCAGGGTCTGACTACTTCTTTCCCCCGCGGTCTTAGTGGCTAAGGTCTGGGGAGGTGGCTGCCTTGCATTCTGGTTCCCACTGGAAGCAAGAAACCTGCTTTTTTAAAGAAACAGTGTTGTAGCTCAGTGCTGGACCCACAGGACAATAAACAGTCACTCAGTGCATTGATGAATAAATGAAGAATAGCAAATAAGGTAAAAAGAGGCCTTGGAGATAATTCCAAGTGAGCTTCAGCACAGGCAAAAACATGGCTGCACTGTGACAAGGCGCATGTGGTATGTTCCTGCCCATTAGCCCCTCAGGTTGGGGATTCCCAGAGTCAGGGAAAGGGGGGGAAGGGAGAAAGTATAACTCCTAGGGAGCATAGTTTTAAAAAGACATTTCCAGCCCTGGCCGGTTTGGCTCAGCGGTTAGAGCGCCCACCTGCGGTCCGGAGAGACCCGGGTTCGGTTCCCGCTAAGGGCATGTACCTCGGTTGCAGTTTGTCCCCGGCCCTGGTTGGTCGTGCGGGTGGCAGCCACTCGATGTGTCCCTTTCACATCGATGTTTCCCTCTCTCTCTCTCCCTCCCATTCTGTCTGTACAAAAAATGGAAAAATGTCCTCGGATGAGGATAAAAATAAATAAATAAATAAAAATAAAAAGACATTTCCATTGACCATTCACTTAATCTGTTTTAGTCATATTATTAAGAATTAGTTTACAATTTTTAAATAACTTTAAACAATGGTGTTCAATTGTATTTCTATCAAAAGAGGCCATGTTTTTAAAGAATTTTAAATACTGCGTTAGCTTACTACTCCTATTACTTTTGCAGGTCAGAGGAAGGTGGTAATCATAGCTGTACCCAAATAATAAATAACTTATGTTCCCCACTGTATAAAAATAATAAAATAGATTACATTGACATAATTCCGTAAGAAACACCAAAGTGTCCTTGGGAGTGACGACCTCCAACACGGCAGGTTCCTGCTCGCTGATTCAGCGTCCCTAAGAGTGGTTCTCCAACTCTACCCTCCTCTGCATTGTTTACACCGTCCAGTTACCTCCCCCTGGAAAGCTGCAAGACTTGCCTTCCCAAATAAATAAATAAATAAATACTTTCAACGATTTATAAGAATGAAAAGACTCCTGGCAGTATGCCTTTTTTTATGAGGCTGTTTCCAATCTGACAGTTGATTCCCTACACCTGTGTTGTGGAAAAGCCGTGCCCAGTGTCAATTATCACAAGCAGTAATAAGCCATTTACTGCCATGGCAAGTCTTGGGGGCGGTGGGGAGGTGGGCATAATCCAGACTCTCACATTTCAGATTTATTTTTGTTCCCTTTGCCAAGCACAAATAAAAGTTTTATCTTAATCCTAATGGATTTGACAAGCATCTATTTTCACATTAGCCTACTGTCTGATCCCCTTTGAAGTGGGAGTCCCAGGAGTCTGGAGCAGAGAAAGCACCTTTCTCGCAAGAGCTTTCGGGATGTCAAAGCGGTGAAAGACCCCATGAGGCAGGACGGTAGAGGTAGGGGGAGAGCACGAGACTTCCAAGGGCCCACACGTGGACCCCCCAGAACGCGGGGAGCCTGCAGCTTCGGTGCACGCGCTTAGTTGCATGCACCTGCCTTTCCCATGCAGTGTTTAAAGCAAGGTCCACACGTGACCGCAGGACCTCAGAGGAGTGAGGAGAGTGGCAGGCGGGGAAGGGCTGCTGACCTACCTACTGCCCTGCTCTGCTCCAGACAGTTCTCGTACACACTGCTGCACGCGGAGCTTCCGGGCTGCACAACAAACCGAGACACATTTACAAACTCAGCACACGTTCCTGAACTTCCAACAATACACGAAACACGAATAATACCCCAGCAGAACACAGCAGACACTTCACTTTCTGATACATGAAGTGTCCGATGGGTAAAAAACAAAACAAAAAAAACCCCAAGGAAACAGGTTTGGGGTGGGAGTGTAGACTCCTTTCAACAGTACATCGTTTTGGAGCTGCAGAGACTGGGGTGAGGGTCATCGAGGCCCATATCCTGAGAGCTACTGCTTCTGCTTGGGAGGTCACATTCCAGGACTCAATCCAAGTCTCAGCTTGGTGAAAGGGTGATTTCCAGGACACGTGTGTAAACGCTGCCCAGTTAGCAAACTCTATCTAACCGTGAAGCGGCAGACCGCAGCTCTGCTCTGCTGAGGTTTGTGCCAGGCTCACTTTCACACTTAAAAACCTCATGCTGTCTTCAGTAATGGAATGGGATCCACTGATGCCTTTGAGAAGGGGTGACTATGCTTTGAGAAGATTAATTAGGCAGTGTCTTGCAGGAGCGTTTGGAGGAAGGAAAGCAGAGACAAGAAAGGGGCTTTCAGAATCATCTGGGCAAGTGAGGACCAGAATTTAAAAAGATGCAATAGAGTGAAAAAGGTTGGGTATATTCAAAAGATATTTTCATGAAAGAATCCTAGGTCTCAAAGACTGAGTTGATATGTGGCTCATATGAGAAAAACAAAAGACTGTAGATTATTGGAAAAGTAGCAATGCCAATCTTTAACATGTGTCAGTCAGTAGAGGAATCTGGTTTGGAGTCCAGGAGAAAATGCTCAGTTCAATCTTGATATAAACAAGCAATGCAATGCTTGTGATGCAATAGCTGGAGAGGGAGGTAATGGCTGGAAACAGAGCTGGGGGAGTGTACACATAGGTGTCAGGCCACAGGAGAAATCAGCACCAAGGGCAGTGTACTGGAGAATGCCTTCATGGTGGTAAGGTAGGGGCTTGGGTTTCCAGGAGAAGGGATGCAAGAATACAAGATAGAAAAAAAAAATGATGCAACTTACTTTGAAATGCATCAAAAATAAGATGGAGGGATGGGTTAGGGATGTTTCATAGGATGACAGAGCAAATACAGTAAAATGTTAATTGTAGGATCTAGATGGTGAGTATATGAGTATTTACCATATAATTCTTTCAACTTTTCTGTATGTTTGAAAATATTTATAACAAAAATGGAAAAACATGACAAAAGAAAGAAAAACAGCAACTAGAGATGCAGGATCAGTATCACACAATGAAGGTGTTTCAGAAGCTAACAGAAGAGGTATAAAAAAAAGATGAGACAGCCAACAGGTATCAAATGCTAGAGACAAATTCAGAATGTTGAAGAAGGAGATAGATTTAGCAATTAAACCATTGGTAACCAAAAAAAACAAAAACATTGGTGACCACTGTAAAAGTAATTTCTATCAAGTTGTCCAGTGGAGTTCAGATCTTAGAAGTGTAGTATAGATGTGAACACAGAGGTGAAGACAGTTTGTTTCCAGAAGATTGTGGGTGAAAGAAAGATGAGGAGGTGGGACATTATTAGTTGGGTTGGAGGAGACCAAGTTTGTGTGCAGGCAAAAGGGAAAGACCGGTAGACGGAGAGAGAATAAAGATTGAGACAGAGCCCTGTCCGGTTTGGCTCAGCGGTGAGAGCGTAGGCCCATGGACAATGAATTGCGGGTTGGATTCCTGTCAGGGCCACATACCTCAGCCACATACCTGGCCGGGTCATGCGGGAGGCAACCAGTTGATGCGGCTCTATCATGTTGATGTTTCTGTCTGTTTCTCTCTCTCCCCCTCCCTCCCACTCTATCTGATGATTAGTAAAAAAATATCCTCAGGTGACGAATAGAAAAAAAAAAAAGACTGAGACAGTTTGGTGGGCAGAACAAGAGCACAGAGACGGCAGGAAGGGGTGGGATCGGAGCTCAGGGGAAGACTAGCTGTGGAGACAGTAACTAAGGAAGAGCAGCAGAGAACGCAGGAAGACTTGGAGGCGGGAAAAGGTGAAGCTGAGGACAACGTGTTGGGCTGCCCTAGGGTTCCCAGCGAAGTGAGATGTGAGATCAGCAGCTGAGGCTGCCGTTGGGGAATTGGGAGTAAAAATTATCTACTCCATCAGCGATTCACTCCCTGGCTCTGTACTGAGGAAGATGATACTTTCTCTAAAGTAGCAATTGGAAATCCTCAAATTCAACTCTCTAGTGATAAGGACAGAATTGCACTGCTAGTCCCAATAATAATAAAATATGACATACCAAATAGCACAACTTTTCACACCGTATGGGGCAGTAAGCCATTTGTTCTGCGGCTTGAACTTTGACCCGCACATCTGAAACACCACCCACAGGTGGCTGCTTTCCTGGTATTTCATTGTAATACTCATGATCTTCATTCTCTTCAGCATGGCCATCAATATGCACCTCCTCACTGTAAGGGAAAAAAGAATCCCCAAGAGGCTGGGCGGGAATTCAAATGCTGTAGGGGATGCAGAGGGATCAGAACCATGCAAATCATCCTGAAAAACTTTGCATTAATGGTATAAGTTTACAGATGTGCTTACACGATGTCAAACATCTGGATGGAAGCAACCAGATGGCTGAGTTGGAGTTGTTTAGATTTCTGGGAACCATTAAAGTGGGGTAAGCCAACCAAAATGCCAAGGGTGATGCTTTTGTCTCCCCTGCGCCCCCCCTCCCCCAGTAATTAAGAAAATATATACACATAAATATGAACTCCCTGAATGTAAGACATTTTCATCAATAGGATATAAAAATACACAGTCTTGCCCTGGCCAGTTTGGCTCAGCGGCTGGAGCATCGACCTGTGGACCAGAGAGTCCCAGGTTCAGTTCCCGCTAGGGGCACGTACCAAAAAAAGAAAAAAATATATACAAAATCTTCTGGGTACCTCCAGCCTACTTTTTACCATTTCATAAATACTTTGCTCAAGAAAATGTATATATTGGGCAGAGGGCCTGGCCCAGTTTATTAAACCAAAAAGAAAAAAAGTAAAAAGCTGTGGCCAGCTACCTTGTCTGCACAAGTCTGGAGGAGTAGATGGAACTCACAAAGAAATATTAGAACCATATGTGGCAAGAGGGCAGATATATATAAACATGCATTGTTGTTAAAATTGAAACAGGGCAAGAAAACAAAGGTACCTTTCTTCCAAGTTGGAATTAGTAAAAGTTTCTTATGAAAAAATAAATCAAGTCCTTTTGGATAGAACCAATTCCATTGACAACATGCACAGTTTTGTTGGGTTCGTTACATGTCAACAAAATGACAGCCCCAAGATGTAAGTGCTATGCTGGGAGAAATTCAACATTCAGGCCTTCTGGTAACCACCTCTCCTTCACTACTCTCAACCGCCTCTTAAAGGGCAAGCTCCAAACCCAATGTTTGTTGATACACCAAATGACAAATCAGGGGGAGAAATACATTTAAAAGTGCCTAAGAGTTCCGCTTCTCAGGTGTGAATTCTGCGAGCCAGGGGCTCATTGCATTCCACCGGCCTAAAGCATCGGGCTTTCGTTGCAGCCTTTCTGTGCCTTAGACAGAACAACCGGGTCCCTGGGTCACGGTGTATGTCACCCCTGCCACTGCTTAGCTGGAGCGCATCTGTTTACATTGCAAACCAACCAGCTAACAGGAATTCCTGCAACAGACATTTGACTTATTTTGTTCTTCACTCTTGATTTTTTTTTTTTTTTTACTGATATGCAAGGGCTTTGGGGGTTGAAACAAATCTAAGAAATTTGTTGATGTTTATTATTTTATGATGCTCTTAAGTAATTCATAGCTCTCCTTGTATAACATCAGAGAAACATGGCTGATCACATCTCACTTTTGGTGTCTCCTTTAGTTTTGTTACAAACCATGAGGAAATATCTGGACAAATATAAATAGAAGACAAATAGAAAATGTTACTATTAGTTTGTACTGGAACTGTGCCCATTTATAAGAAAAAGTAAGAAAAATTTACTAATTTCAGTAGTCAATTTTAAAATGCTATAATCATTTTAAAATTCAACAAAATATAGTAAGTCAAGTTACTACAGAACTCACGGCTGACCTTTCACAGGCAGCACCCAAGGAAGGATTTTGCAAATATTGTTTAAACCGGAGCTCAAAAGCCTGCCCTATGGTGTTTATGACATCTTGGGCCATTCCGTTGCGGCATTCCAGTATGTGACAGGCTGCAAAAGGACACACACAAAAAAATTACAACAAATTTTTGGTAAGAGAAGATTAGATAAAGTCAAAATACTTCCAGAATGTGAACTGGAAATTGAATAAAAGGGTGTGGGTTTACAAGCTCTCTTCAGTTCTGAAATGGCATACCAATATCTCATATTTCATATGCACCAAACAGAAGAAACACTCATGTTTTATATCTAAATATCTCAAAATACACATTTGGGTCTCAAGGCAGGTATTTTGGGCTCACATTTTCATAAAAGTAGGACAAGTTTGACTAATACTGCAGTTCAGTGTTAGTTCTAGATTTCAATACAGGAAATTCAGGACAGCAATCTGCAGGGAAGATGAGGTTTTCAGTCTTGTCCTTGCTACAGAAGACTGAAGAAAGCTAACTTTCCCAAACTCTCAGGAAGCACTATGAACTTCTAACAAAGAGAGAGGCTTTAGAACACCCCCTCCTCTAGCCATTCCTTCGCCCTGTCATTGCTGGCAGTGATGACATGGTAATTCCCGTCTCTGAAACCCTGCGAAAGAACTATTTCCAGTAAGCATCAAAATCAAGATTTTGTGAAGATATTACTAGAAGATGCTACAATTTTCAGTAGACACTTTCTCTGAGAAGCAGTTACTGAGAAGGGCTAGTTTTCACAAGCATATTAGAGAAGTCAGTTGTGAAGCAGGCAGCTGACAGAGTACCACAAATGAGCAAACCTGCAGCTGCATGTAAAAACAGGAGCTTATGTTCAGGGGCTAGAAATCACTCTCCCGACCATCAGGAATATCATTCTTGCTTCAGTTAGAAGTTGGTGTCATGCTCAGGACCTTGCAATATGAAGATTGCATTGAATTTGAGGTTTCATAAAGATGGCTTAGAAAGAGTCCTAAGGATGACTTCAAGATGGAGGCAATGGCCCAGATGCTATGGCTCAGTGGTTGAGTGTCAACCCATGCACCAAGAGGTTGTTGGTTCAATTCCCAGTCAGGGCACATGCCCAGGTTGTGGGCCCGATCCCCAGTGGGGGCATGCAGGAAGTGGCCAATTGAAGTTCTCTCTCATCAATGTTTCTATCTCTCTCTCCCTCTCCCTTCCTCTCTCTCTAAAATCAATAAAGAAAAAAAAATTTTTTTTAAAGATAGAGGCAATGTCCAGTGAGAAATGTTTTAAAATATGCATTGGTTTGTATAGCCTGAACAATTGAGGGATGAGGAAAAGCTTGACAGTGGTGAAATGTATGCAAGAATATGTAAAAGCTGTCAGCTATTCCCTGAGAATAGGAGAGGATTAGGTGCATGATGGGGGATCAGATTAGATACATTTCTGATTCTGATACTTTGAGGTTTTGGTCCTGTTACTGGGCTGATGCTACCAACAAAATGTTCTGCTTTACTTGGGATAACCTTGCTACTGCCATATTCCTTTTCTGAGAAGATTAAACAGTACTGCCTGTCTCCGTGAAAGCAACACCACTGGACAGAAAGGCTGCCAGGGAACACACACGTTTTGACAGTGTTATTGCTGCTACTCACACGCTGCTCTGTGAATATGATCTTGGTTCTTTTTGAAGTTGGTCACGGGTCAGAATGGGAACAGGTTTTACATCACGTACAAATATGCCCATTTCCCAGGGTTGGACACACCTCCAAAAGCTCAGATAAACAGCTAGTTTGGCCAAGAATTGCCCAATCTTTAGCTAATGAGAAGGAAGAAAGACAAGCATATGAAAAGCCCCAATTCCCAGAATTTGACTTTCCAGTAAGATGATAACCTTGCATGGAGGCCTGAGCTTTGCTCTCGTGTCTGGAATCAGATGCAGACCTGGGTTCTTTCCATTCCACTGGTAGCCAGAGAGACCCACAGTTCTACCCTTGGGCATCGGGTGCTATGGTAAGTAAAATTTAAAAGAAGCTTAGATTCATATTCTTCTGTCTTTTGCATTTGGTTTCCTAATGAGATAGTCATGAAAAATGAGACTATTCTTAGAGGATGACAGACTTTTCTCTACTGTTATATATTTGTTTTGAATAGACAAGGTTTTTTTGTTTTGTTTCAGTGTTTTGTTTTTGTTACTAGAAAACAAGAAATTGAAAAATGCAGCTTTTTATGTTAACCACCAGATGGTGCTGTGGGATCGAAGCATGGAGTCCACCACCCCTCAGGAGGAAACAGCCTGAAGAAGCAAGCCAGCTGTCAGTCCATACTTAACGTGAGCAGGGCAGTAGTGCATAAATTCTATAACCATAAACATAAATCTAAATAAATGGGTTAATCTAAATTGGCTTTACAGCCTTTCGTTTTTATTTAACTTCCTTCAGAAACTCAGAACCATGGCCTTCCTATATCCAGGTAGTCCAGGTAAACCGGGGCCTCCTAACAGACCAGATTCAGAGAAAATATTTAAACCTCCTGGACAGCTACACATTTGGAGTAAGAGGTAAAGAGATTTCCTCATTTGGGGCAATTACAGGAGCAGGCTGTATTAGTCACTAAGTAAACTCAAAACATTCTTACTGGAACTTACCTTTCCTACAGAAAAGGCCTTTTATAAAATGAGGAGCTCACTAAAGGGTCGTAGCCAAGATGGAAAAAAGTGGCAACTGCCCTGACTTGAATGCACTAATGCTAACCATGAGTCCAGCAAACAGGAGACAGTGGGGACATTCACACTATTAGCATGAGGCCTGGTCTCCTCTGCCCGGCTCCACTTCCTGTCAGCCATGTGCTCATCCCTGAGGTCTGCCTCCTGCCCTTACCAGTCCACGGACAGTGTGCTTCTGAGGTGACCAATGGCCTGTTAATTGCTGGACTGAATGGCATATTCCACCTTCATTCCCCTTATGCTTCTTTTCAGTGTGAGATATTCCAGAGTGTCTGCCCCCAGGGAAATGTACTCTTCCTCCTTCTTAGGTGCTACTCATCCCCTGGTTTTCTCCCCTCCCCTGACTACTCCTCTGCTCCCTGCACACTCAGCCCTCTTCTTCCTGGGTTCCTCCTCTGGTGACCTCACTCGCCCTTACGGCTAAGAACTGTGGTTTTACCAACCCTCACCACAGAGTCCTGGCCTCAGTCATTCTGCCTCTCTCCAATCGCGGTCTCTGCCTGCCTCTGCCCACCACCGTCACCCTCTCACCCCCAGGCTTCTCCTGTCCACTGAGCATTTTCTCCCGGGTGAACCAAACTCACTAGGTCATTTTCAAACATATTCTTTCTGTTTTCACTATCTTTTGCATTTATTCAAGAATTTAGAACACTTTTATAAATATAATAAATACCATTGTAGCAGTTTTAGATAAAAAGACACCAAGAAGAAATTAAAATTACATAAAGTCTCACTATTCAGAAATAACTACAGCTAACATTTTGGTATGTGCCTTTCCAATTTTTTTTCTATGTATATCTCTTCCAAAATATTACCTAGGATCATACTATACACATTGTCTCATAATCTGCTTTTTGCACTTAATGATATTGTGAATATTTTCCCATGTCATTATTTCCTCTTCTATAGCACTAGCTTTTTTCTTTTTAATCCTCACCTGAGGATATTTTTCCATTGATTTTTAGAGAGAGTGGAAGAAAGGGAGGAAGGGAGAGAGAGAAAAAAAAAAATCACTTCGATTAGTTGCTTCCCACATGACAACCACCGGGGCTGGGAATCAAACTTGCAACCCAGGTACGTACCCTTGACTGGAATTGAACCTGAGACCTTTTAGTCTATGGGCTGATGCTCTAACCACTGAGCCAAACCAGTCTGGGCTATAGCACTAGCTTTAATTGCTATAGAGGTAGTACAGTCGCCCTGGCCAGTTTGGCTCAGCGGTTAGAGCGTCGGCCTGCGGTCCGGAGAGACCCGGGTTCGGTTCCCGCTAAGGGCACGTACTTCGGTTGCAGTTTGTCCCTGGCCCTGGTTGGTCGTGCGGGTGGCAGCCACTCGATGTGTCCCTTCACATCGATGTTTCTCTCTCTCTCTCTCCCTTCTTCTCTCTCCCTCCCGCTCTATCTGTACAAAAAATGGAAAACTATCCTCGGGTGAGGATAAAAAAAAAAAAAAAAAAAAAGGAGAGGTAGTACAGTCTATGGATGCATTTAAATACTTTGCTATTCATGAATATTGAATTAATTTTATTTTTCTCATTACATAAATAATATATGACAATGATCTTTACTGCTTTATCTTTGTGCATGCCTTAATTATCTCCTTAGAAGTGAAACTGCTAGTTCAAAAGTATTTACTTTTTTATTTTTATTTTTTTAAATCCTCACCAGAGGATATTTTTCCATCTTCAGATAGAGTAGGAGGGGGAGGGGGGAAAGAGAGAGAGAGAAACATCGATGTTAGACAGACACATCAATTGGTTGCCTCCCACACAACCCCCACCAGGGTCATAACTGAGGTACATTCCCTTGACCGGAATTGAACCCACAATTTTTTGGTCCGGGGGCTGACGCTCTAACTGCTCAAACACTGAACCACACCGGTCTGGGTATTTACTTTTTGAAAGTTCTGATGCAAACTGTCTCATTGCTCTCCAAAACACCTGGATCTACACTCCTACTAGAGGTGTTCAGAAGTAAACCACATTTTACCTTTTATCAGTGTTTGGAAATTGAAGATGAAATATGATATCTAGTTATAATGTGCATCTTCGACGGCTAGTGAGGGTAAACTTGTCACATTTCTTACATGCGTCCTGGAGCCCTGTCATGTTCTCTAGCAGACGTGTGCTCAGGGTCTGGTGTCAGTCCCGGTGCTGACTGGCTGGGTGAGCTCAGGAAACCTACCTTATTTTTCTCAACTCCAGCATTTGCATTTGTGAAAAGGAATAATATTAATACCTACCCTCTAGGGTTGCTTTGAGGATGAAATGAGACAATGCAGACAAAATACTCCTGGCATATGAGAGCATGCAATAAATGGTAGCTTTTTTTTTTTTTGGCCCTATCTTTCTATGGAGTTTTTGTCTTTTTCCCATTTGTAAAAATCCCCATTCCTTTAATGGCAACACCACTCCAAATCACACAGGACAATGATAATGGCTACCATTCATTGCATACTTACTATAAGCCTGGAATTGAGATATTTGCACTGCAGTTTCTCATTAAATCTGTAGGAATATCTGATTTCTGTTTCTTCATCAACCCTCATTATCTAAACAGTTTCCAAGTTATATTAGTTTACAAAACTGTCCAAAAGGTCCCTTCCTCCCTCAAGGCAGTTTAGAACTAATGAGATGCCCTCTGAACTGGACTCTACAATTCCAGACTGCTTTTCTGCCCAAGATCACTCTTATAGATACAAACGCCAGAAAAATGATCATTTTACAATGGCAATAGAATGATAAAAGCCAGAATAATTTTTATAAAGCTCAGAATCTGCAATAGTTCCAAATGACCTTTGGCCCAGCATTCAAAACCCTCCACAATCTGTTTCTGGCCTATCTGTTCAGCCACGGCTCCCCTACTTCTCCCCCTTCCCTTCTCTGCCACCCCACCTTTACACACACACACACACACACATACATGCGCACTAAGGCTCTCGTTACATGGCCCTGTTCATTTCTCCCACAAATTCTGACAGCACCTCTATGTTCCAGGCACTCCTACAGGTTATGTTTCTCTCCCTCACTAAATAATGAGCCCATGATGGCCAGGAATTGTTTTTTGTTTGTTTTATTGGGTCTGGGGGTTGCACGATTATTGGCTCAGGTTCTTGTATATTAGTATGTAATTAATAATTGTGGACTTGAAAGCTGTGTCAGTACCTCTGGGCAGAAATGCAAGCCCAGAGGCTCAGGTAAGGGGGAAGGATTTAACCCTAGAGGGGTGTGCAAGCAGGGGTATGTAGAGAACAGAGGAGTTACTTTCAAAAGTTTCTATAAACAAGAGAAGGGACAAGGGGACAGGAAAAGGAGCACTAAGTGTTGGAGAGGTACCACCTTTCAATCCAAAAAAATTACCCTACGTTTTAAAGTCATCTATCTACTAGATTGCCTGTTTCCCTAAGAAGAACGATGAGATGAGGGAGAAAGGAAAACGATGCTTTCTGTGTATCGTGTCAGCTACCCCTCCCCACAGCACCAGCAAGCAGATGTTATCATTCCCACTTACAGAAACTGAGGTTCAGGGATGCGAAACAACTTGACTAAGGTCATATGGAGGGATGATGGAAGTATTAGGATTCCTACCCAGTCTGTCCCAGCATCTTTCTTATTTACTATATTGTTCTGAGGCTGAAGAAAGGAAAAACTGACACCTAGTTGGACTTTTTCTGTCTTCAAATCCCACCCATGAACTCCATCAACAGTTCTCATAAGTGCCTTTTCAGAACCCCCTTGCCAGGGTCCCTGTGAATCCTATTTGAGCAGCTCAGCTCTGACAAATTCCTCAAACTCCAACCTAGGAGCTTTCCAAGCGGATGGGCTACAACATCATTTTCTCTGCCTCTCTCATTTCATTAAAAAATCAAAAGGGATATTTGCAAGCATGTAGATCCTCTTGGGCCATTCCCCTCAGGAGACAGCATTAATCTTTTAATTTCTCACCACCACTTATGGAAGAGCAATGACATGCCCAGAGATATTCAGTGACTGATGGAAAAGTTACGACACATCTAGATTTCCTGATTTGTTCTTCCTTTCACCCTGTCCTTTTCAGCTTAAGATAAAAGACTTTGCTGTTCAGAGGCCTTCCTAAAAATAGCGTGCTGTTATTCCTCAGGGAAGGCAGGCTTAATGGAAAGATGCTGCTCCTTTCCAGGACCCTTTGTTGTGTTCCATTCCTACTCCCCCGTCTCCCCTTCCCCGGTTCCTGTCTCTCCTACCCACTCTTTGACCATTATCTGTTCTTCATTGTACCATTAAGAGTGAGTCCATTTCAGTGAAGTATTGCACAGCATTTGCCACCTGTTCCTTCCTCTTCGTCTTATCGGGGCCATGTTCTTTGGGCAAGCATTTACTGAGCATCTACTATGTGCCAGGTTCTGTGCCAGCAGCTGGGCCTCACAATTTCATTTCTGATCATCACAGCAGCTTCCTGCTGTTGGCTCTCCCTGCCTTAGGGTTTCTCTCTGAACCCACTACTGCATCCAGCTGCCAAATCAACCTTCCTGAAACTCTGCTCTGTAAATAGCATCTCCACTCTTTTGCCCAAAGGATTAAGTCCCTACTTATTAGCTCTCTCCTCTATGCTCTCTAGATGCCGGCTAGACCTTTGTTCTCCATACACAATCTTCATTCTACTATGTTCTATCATCTGCTCCCAGCAAGCCATATACATTTCCACCTCTGTGTCTTACAGCTCTTTGAATTTCCAAATTCCACTCCATACGTCTTAATAAATGTCTTGGGACAAACTCTATCCCTGGAATGGCAGAGGATGCTGCCTAACTAACAGGTTCTTGTTAAGGAGGAGAAGCATCCTAACACCATCCCTAAAAGGAGTCTGAAAGATCCCGTGTCAGAAGCAGTATGAACCATGTCTGTCTAGAGAAGTCCTAGGACCTAAGGAACTTCAGGCCCTTGAACCAAAGTGCCGCTAGGAGATGAGTTTCTTGGGCTGGATCCTGAGATGAGAAATCCAATCAACTCACTCTTCCATTCACTCAGCCATTCGACAAAACAGTGATTGGGTACCCCCATGTGCTAAGCGTTGTGGTGAGTGCTTAGGGGGAAAAATAATGAAAACGATAAACAGTTCTTGCCTTTGTGGAGCCTTTAGTAAAAAATACAGACATTAAACACATCAATAAGTGAGTAAATAAAATAATAAAAATGTGGCAGAAATGTTAATAAAAAGAGAAATAAAGTGTTAATGATGCAGCAGAGTGGAATATGCTAACTGGAGAGAGGAGGTGCTCACAGCCAAAGGTGTCTCTGAAGAAGAGACATTTAAATGGAAATCCAACAGATGAGAAGCCAAAATACTCAAAGTGACACGCCAAGCTCTTGAATAGCAAGTGCATAGGCTCCACACACACACACACACATTGAGGCCAACGCAGACCAATAACCTCACAAGTCTGGGTCTTATCTATTATTCATTTGTCCATTGAAGATGTCCAGCCCTTTCTCTGACAGCCAAAATAGCTTTTCTTTTTACTTAAAAAAAAAAAACAGATAACACTTTTGGTTTATGGGTCTCTCAAATGACTGGGATTTAAATCCCACCTATATATTTGTTTCTACTTTTCTCTGCTATTTATTTCCAACTCAAATTTACATAATATTTCTAGAACCCAATATAGCACTCTAGTGATCCTCATCACTCTGTATACTGAAAATAACAGTTTAGTACATTTTAAAGTTCTTAAGAAAACTCAGAAATTGCTTTCCATACCTCGTTGATTAACTGGATCTTTAGCTACGTAGGCAACATAGTCTGTGGTATCCTATAAAAAAGGGAAAACAGTTGCATTTAAAATGAACGGATTGCACTGTTGGAAGATAAGAGTACATTTAGGACAAGCTACTGAGGGAAGGACTTAAATATTAATGTTTCTTTTAAAGAGCAAAGGAAAGCCTCTTAGGAGGGAACATAAATACACCCTTGTATAATTTAGTACTTGTGGGGTCTACATTCGCTGCCCCTTGGGGAGAGAATCTGAAGACTAAAAATTTAGAGGCAGAGTGTGTCACTAAGAATAAAAGAGAATACAGGTAGAAAATATGTTAGAACATATATTCTTTAAAAAAATGGTTGGGGACTATGATTCCAGTGTTGAAAGTTGAAATACCAGGGGTTATGCAATCACGAAGGTATTACAAACTAGGATGTGGTGCCACAATTTCCCAGTTATCAAAACAGACACTGTGTACATCGGAAAATGAGTCGAAATGCTTTGGGTTCTGTGGTTGTTAGCTTGCTTGTGTACAGTACACATTGACTGAAGGAGCAATACAGCAGAAATATGGGCATTTATTTAATCAAGACAGTGAAGGAAAAAATCATTTTTGAAAAAGAGAACCCATTAAAACTTAAGGAGTTAAAAGAGAGAGAGAGATGTGTTGCTGACTTTGTAAAAACTCACAAACAAAAAGCTACTTGGTAATGCTGATTTTTATTGAAAACGGCAAGCTGATGAATGATAAGATTTGAATAATTAAAGATGCTTTTCGTTATCTCAGTTCTCAGGAAAAAAAGACACAGTGCCATTTGAAGATTAGAAGTATGACTCTCTCGGGGGAAGATGCAATCAGCTGGCAGGAAATAAAAGCCCGTGTTTGTAATACCCTCAAGGACAATCATTTAATAACCCACAATGAATCATGCAGGAAGCGGATCTTAGGATCAGCGTAACTTGTCTTGGGTTATTTTAAAAAATAACGCACACCTAAGTATATGTCTGTTATGCAGAAAAAGAAAGGTTTGAACTATCTTGTAAATACGTAAGTTCATCTCTCTAGGCTTTGTTTTATGTTAATTTAAAAGGAAAGCCAACTGCTAGGGGCTTGGCTGCTATTTTTAAAGTTAAAGAGGTGGTATGATGCTGACAGTGTTGTCTGGTATATTAGATGATGGGAAAGAGGTCGTGGGACCTCAGTTTCCTCATCTTCAAAAGAGTGCCCAACAGTCTTATAGTTCTAAAATTTTATAACTGTAAATATCTGGGAGAATTTGAAGAATGTTAAAAGTAAAGCACAAATAGCAGGGGAAACTATGAGAAAATATATGTAATCTGCTCATTTTCGTTCATGCATTTTGAAATGGGGAAAGTATATGTAGCTACAGAAGCATTACCAAGAACTGTCTTCAAGGCTGACAGAAGACAAGTGAACTGTTTTTGAGAGAAGAGAGTAAAGGTGAGGATAGGGAAAGGTCACAGAGTAAGAATACCCAGTGTTTTCTAAACTTTGGAGAAAATATGGTAGAAAGTAGGGCACTGCATCAGGCCATGGAAACTTGGCTTCCTACCCCTTGCACCCCGTTAGCTGTGAAGTTGTAAACTACCTCAGTGACATGTGTTAGCAACATTGCCCACAGTTATCTCCTATCACTCTGTCCCTGGCAGTTTACATGCATCATTTCACTCAATTCTCATGACAGTGTGAGACAAGGGTGGTCCTTCCCATTTTACAGAGGAGGACCCTGCAGCTCAGGGAGGAGGAACAGGTCATATCTACTTGACTCCAGAGCCTGGCATTCCACCCTCCTACTTCCCTAACCTGAGGGTAAAACCTCACTGGTAGGCCTCTAATGCCAGTGTTCCTGGTGGCTCCAGTTTTCATTTCAAATCAGCAGGCTGTTGCCCCAGCTACAGGGAGCACAGAAGTCCCATGAAATTCAGTAGATTAAAACCTTCCCACAGTGGCTACAAATTCTTTACTGTTTGTTTTTGGAAACGGCAATGCTTTGGTGGGTTGAAAGAACTACAGAACTAAAGGCCCATGAAGACACTCTAAAAATAACTAGGAGTCTGCAGAACGATGATAAGCATCATACAGCGCATGCTTACGATAAATGCTTATGGTAAATAAAAGGATTTGCATCCCAATCCTAAAAATGACAGCAACTCCTGAAACTCAAAAGGGGAAATGTAAGGCAACCAGCAACAATTAATTTTCACACTACACTTCTAGAACTCACTACTTCAAGTATCTGAAAAAAAGTATTGGAATTCCTTCATGGATGACCAGACTATAATGGGTAAGAAAGAGAAAATGGGGCTGCCCTTTTCAGCCTGGATTCAGTCAACTCTCTCTGCTCCCAAACACATCCCTTGGTGTCGCCTGAGGCCAGACTGCCAGGCCGGACAGATGGGACTTCAGAGTCAGCGCTGGGTGCCCACCGCAGCTGCTGAGTGGGCGGGCACTTTGCATGTCCCCTGTCTGCTAGTGAAACCACAATTAGCCATTTGTGAAATCTCTTGGGGAAAAGGTGGAGCTCTTAACATTTGATTTACTTTAAAATGGTGACACCATGGAACTAAACTATTTATTTGAAAATAACTATACCCAAAGCTGAAAGGTAAGGAAGTATCCATTGATAAAAGAAAACAGAAAGTGATTTAAAATCCTGTAAAAGTTGCTTTGATTCCATGTGCTTCAGGCAGTTCCGAAGGCAAGCTGTCTAGGTTTGACACGCTTACATACTTTGAGTCGCCGGTATCCAGCGAGAAAACAAGTAATTATTGAAATGATTTCAAGAATGGGCTGGTTTAAATAGCATAACTGTGTATTTTACACACAGAAAAGTTATGCCAACACCCAAGCAGAGGAACTTTCTTCATTCAACACATTAGATGACAGTAAAGGAAGCGATGAACAAGCAGAGAAACTTCAGGAGTTTATTTTCTTTTAAGATAGACTTATGTTTCCTTTAAATATTTAGCCTTTAGATTAAAATCAGTCAAAACTCTGTGGTGACACCAGCTGCCAGATTTGGTGTTTACGACCATTCCATACCTCTCTTGGGCTTCTTGGTTATGTGTCCTATCATTTATGACCCTAAATTTTATTCCTCAATTGGAAGAGAGGAACTAAATGTGGTGAAGAGAAAAAAAATCAACTGTGAAAGTAGATTTTATTGCCTCATTTCTGAAAGCTATACTCTTTAACAATAATGGAGAAAAGAAGGTAACCTACTGTCGGGAAGGATAGGTCTTTATATGTTCCCCATGCTTCCTTGGCGTTACTGATGTTCAGTCACTGTGAAAGTCACACCCTGCCCTCCTCTAGCCTTTAATATGTTTGCAGGTAGAAAAATGTCACAATGTCACACAGGAGCAAAGTCCTGCTTCTACTCCCTCAGTTTAAACAGAGGCCTTGTGGCCTCTTGGTAGAGAGAAACTGCAGTTCTTTCTCCCAACCTGAGCGTTATCACCGTAAGTTTCTACAAACCTGGCTGCTCAGTCTAGATCACACTTAGCTGCCATGTCTGGTGGACAGCCTTCCCTTCACGTGCCAGATCCAACTGAGTGGCAGCATCTGCCTGGAACTGTACGTGGAGAAGAGTTCTGAGAAAGGACTGGCAACACACGTGCGACATACTTGTTTCTCATGACTTTGACGTTATCTGCAAGAAGCTTCTCAGACTAGAGCTCCGTGGCTAATAACACAGTGGAGTATTATTAGCTCACTTATGAATCCAAATACTTCAAAAATCAATGACAGGATATATTTTGTCAAAAACAAATTTTTGATTACCTGCTACAAGTAGCTGTGCACAAATTCTAATAAGATACTTGGAAAGGACATGCAGTGGCAAATATGCTTTACATGGAAGTTGTTTTAACTCTTATATGAAAAGAACTCTTAAGAATCCATACTTACGGGATCCCCTCCAGAGGCAAATGAAATAGACTGCATGTGGTGATTTGCAATAATCTAGAAAACATAAACAAATTAAACATGTATGATGCTATAAATTAATTACTCCTAGTTACATACAATCTAACAGTGATGGACATACATTTGTTTTGGTTTTGCCTGAACAGCATCCATTTGAAAACCACTCCACTCACACTCTTTTTTTCTTTTCTTTTCTTTATTGATTTTAGAGATAGAAGAAAGGAATGAGAGATAGAAACATCGATGAGAGAAAACATCGATTGGCCGCCTCCTGCATGCCCCCCACTGGGGATCGGGCCCACAACCTGGGCAAGTGCCTTAACTGGGAATTGAACCAGCGACCTCTTGGTGCGTGGGTCCACACTCAACCAGTGAGCTACATTGGTGGGTCTCCATCCACACTCTATAATAAACTCACTTAGACCATGAGATTCAGGTGGGTTTGACATCCCCATCTCACTGTCCTTCTCCTTGCAGGTGGACACATGATCCAGGCCTAACCAATCGGAGAACATGTGAATACAGCAGAGTCAATCAGTGTCTTTGGGGAGAAACGGATATGGACAACAGGAGAGGACACATCTCTCTCTTTCTCTCTCTCTGCCATTAAGGACCATGTAAGCCCAAAGCTTCTCTGAGCCATCTTTTGCTGACATGTGAGACAACCCTACTGGAAAAATAAAGCTTTGCTATTAGAGAAAATCAGCTGAGAACTGAAAGTAGAAAAAAGTACAAAACTGACAGCTGTTAGAGGAGAGGGGGTAGGAAGGATGGGTGAAAAAGATGAAGGGATTAAGCCAAAAAAAAAAAAGAAATCCCTCACAAACAGACAACAGTATGGTGATTACCAGAAAGAGGTGGGGAATGTAGAAGAGGGTAAAATGGGGATAAATGGTGATGGAAGGAGACTTGACTTGGGGTGGTGAACACACAATACAATATACATATAATGTATTATAGAATTGTACACCTAAAACCTATATAACTTTATTAACCAATGTCAAACCAATAAATCCAATAAAAATAAAAATAAATAAAAGTAGAAAAAATCTAGTGGTAACATTTGTTTCATCATTTCAACCAATACAATTCCCGTCCCCTTTTACCCTTTTTTCTAATCAATTTATTTTTATATAAATTAGTTTTAATTGGGCTTCAGTCATTCACCACCAAGAGTATCCTAAGGAACTAATGTTAAGATTTCCAGTACGGAGTAAGATTATTCCAGTGAACTGCATTACTTGGCCAAGAAGACTGTCTCTTTTACTTGAGATTCTAGGATCACTTGTTTGTAATCCCCACAGTGTAAATGACCCATTTGCAGAGATGTATTTGTCATACTGCCTTGAAGGTTCATTAAAATACCAGCTGTGCACGTATTAACTAATCCTGCCTTCAGTAGTGTGTAACAGAATATACTAAAGTAGCTTATATAAAGTGACCAAGCAAGTCTACTCCTAAATGTTTATACAACAGAAGTGTGTAAATATGTGCACCAAAAGGTATGCTACAGAGATCATTACTGCCATTATCATAATAGCCCATAACTGGAAACAATCCCAAGGATGACTATTGTGATATTCAAGCGATTAACTAACTACATAGCAACATGTTTCTTGGGCAAAAAAAGCCAGATACAAAAAATAGAGGATGAATGGTTTCATTTATATAAAGTTCCAAAACAGCCAAAATTATTTTTTTCTGTTTGAAGCCATGATAGGGGTTACTTCTGAGGCAAAGGAAAAGAGAGCAAGTGGTTTTTCTGGGATGAAGTGGTATTTCTTTATCTGGGTAGTAGTTACACAAGTATGTTCATTTTGTGAAAATTAATGTGTGTACTTTTCTATACTTATGTTTTCTATGTTTACATTTCAGTTAAAATGATTGCTAAAAACAAAATCAATATACAAAGATCAATGTCATTCCTATATATCTGTGCTTGGGGTTGGAGGAAGTATATTTTACAAAAGTACCTACATATAAACCTAAAAAGAACCATGTAGAGCTTTTTTGGAAAACTTCATTGAAGGGTATAAATACTACCTGAATAAGTAAAAAGATATATATATATCACCATTATGGATTAGAAGATAATATTGTAAAGATGTCAATTCTTCCCCAAATTAATCTGTAATTTCCTTGAAATTCCAATAAAAATTCCACCAATGCTGCTTCTAAAATTCACATGTAAGACTAAATGTGCAAAAAAAAAGCAAAAGAAAATTTTTAAAAAACAAAGAGACTAGATTTTTCTTATCAGCAAGGCATATTATAAAACTATAGATTTCATTAAAATACAAAGTCTAAAAACAGACACATATTCATAGACTTTTAGTTTATGATAAATGTGGTACCAAACAGACAAAAGGATAAGTGATTAAATTAGCTGGGTTGGCTGAATTAGCTATATATATGGAAAAAATATATAAACAAATCCTGTCCTCATACTATCTATATAAATAAATGCTTGATTCATAAAATATCTACAAATACATCAGAGGACAGATAAAAGATTATGCCTGTGATCACTGAGATAGGAAAAACCTATCATAATAGACAGAAAAGACATTTTTAAAAACCACCCTTAAATTATATAAAATCTCATTTTAAAACTGTTGTCTAAGACCCCTAAAACAGGACACAAAAGGAAGAGAGAATATATTTGCAACATGTAAAACAAAAGTATTCATATACAGAGTTATAAGGAATTCTTACATATCAACGAGAAAAAGAGATAAACCCAAAGTAAGACCAGTTAACTTTCAATAGTAATACAAATGTTCAGTAAACATTGAAAAATAATCAATCTCCGCCCAGCCGATGTGGCTCAGTGGTTGAGCATCCACCCATGCACCAAGAGGTCACTGGTGGTCAGGGCACAGGTTGTAGGCCAAACCCCTAGTGGGGGGCATGCAGGAGGCAGCCAATCGATGTTCTCTCTCATGGGTGTTTCTATCTCTCTTTCCCTCTCCCTTCCTCTCTCTAAAAATAAATAAAGAAAAAAAATATTTTTTAAAAAGAGAGCTGGTTTGGCTCAGCGGTTGGAGCATCGGCCTGTGGACCAGAGAGTCCCAGGTTCAGTTCCCGCTAGGGGGGCGTACCAAAAAAGAGAGAGAGAGAGAGAGAGAGAGAGAGAAATAATCAATCTCCAAGAAATCAAGACTATCCAAAATAAAACAAGACAGATTAAATTGATAAAACTGTCAAGTTCAACAAAATCACGTGTGGCAAAGGTGTGGCTCTTCTTAAACACTACTGGCTAGAGCTTAAATTTGTGTAACAACTTTGGAAAGCAATTTGACAGTATTTACTAAAACTAAAGTATGCATACCCTATGATTTCACCTTTCCACTTCCAGTACTTGGTACGCGTGGACGTTCATTTAACCAGTTTATAGTGTCAAAATCAAAAATTATTTTTGCATAGTTCAGTCAACAATAGTACAGCTATACAAATAAAATGCTGGGGCGGGGGGGGGGGGGTGACTATATCTATCTATCCATCTAGATATTTATCTACAACACTAACAAACCTAAATCTTCAAAACATTGCTGAGGGGTTTGTTTTGTAAGTTGAAGCCAGATATGTGAGACGTTTTACTTTTTTTTTTTTATCCTCACCTGAGGACATTTTTTTTTTTTTTTTTTTTTGCATTTATCTTCAGATAGAGCAGGGAGGGAGGGAGGAAGAGAGAGAGAAACTTCGAAGTGAGAGAGACACGTGAGTGGCTGCCACCCACACGACCCCAACTGGGCCGGGGACAAACTGCAACCGAGGTACCCTGTCCTCAGCGGGAACAAACCTGGGCCTCTCTGGTCTGCAGGCCGACGCTCTAACGGGAGCCAAACTGGTCAGGGCATGTGAGACGTTTTAAAGAAGTAAGATTTTTTCCCACAAGGACCATGTAAATGCAAAGAAAAGGGATTTAAAGAATACACAGTAAATTGATAATAGTGTAAAGTTACTTCTTGCAAAAATGGGACCGAGTGTATTCTCACTACAACTTTTATACAAGACCACGGATAATATGCTCATTGGTGAATTTTACTTTTCCTAGTGAGGGCAGGTGAAGGGGGACAATGGATCCGTTCTCAGCAGGCTGCTTCGTGGTTGAGGAGACTGGATGGAGCGGGGATTTGGAAGTCATTGGCGCAGACGGAAGAGGTAGTTCAAACCCAGATGCAGGTGCGCACCGGTCGCCGTCGGAGGCGGGAGCTGGCGGAGGAGGATGCGTTGTTACGGCGGCCACGTATCTCCCCAAGTTCAGCATCAAAAGCAGGACAACGGTTAATACGGAGACAAAGTAGTGCTCATGCGTGCAGTCTTAAGACACGAATCTGATCAAGCGAAACACACACCACCACGCCCGAGGGCTCCTTCCCGCGAACAGCCTGCGCTCGCCCGGCAGCGCTCCGGGCGGAGGCGTGTCTGGGGGTCACGCTTACGCAGAGGGTCGCGCACGCCGTCGGCGCACGCGCACCACCACACGGCCGCGCAGTTGCGATCTTGCTGAAAAGGCCTGGCAGGAGGTTGAGCTGTTGGTATGATGTCGGAAATGCATGAGCTGTCCGAGCTGTATGAAGAGAGCAATGACCTGCAGATGGATGTGATGCCGGGCGAGAGTGACCTTCCGCAGATGGAGGTAGGCAGCGGGAACCGGGAGCCATCCCCGAAGCACTCCCGCAGCCGGGCCCCGCCACGGCTCGAGGAGGAAGGCCCAATGGAGGAGGAGGGGGCCCAGCCCATGGCGGAGCCAGAGGGGGGCCGAGGCCTTGCTAGCCGGCCCAGCCCCGAGGAGCAGCCAGGCCAGATCGCGGGCCCTGACTTCGAGAGCGAGGACGAGGGCGAGGAATTCGATGACTGGGAGGACGACTATGACTATCCTGAAGAGGAGCCTCTGAGCGGCGCAGGCTACAGGGTGTCAGCGGCCCTTGAAGAAGCCAACAAGATGTTTCTGAGAACATCCAGAGCAAGAGAAGCAGCCCTGGATGGCGGTTTTCAGATGCACTACGAGAAGACCCCGTTTGACCAGCTGGCTTTTATCGAAGAGCTTTTTTCACTTATGGTTGTCAATCGTCTGACCGAAGAACTCGGCTGTGATGAAATTATTGATAGAGAGTAGTTAAATGCTGTTAAAAAAAGGAGGAAACTACTTGAGGAGAGACCCAACATTCCACTGGCTCTTGGGTTTATTCCAAATAGTTCCGTGCCAATGAGAAACTTGATCTTCAAAAAAAAAAAAAACAACTTTTTTTTGTTTGTTTGTTTTGCAGAATAGAATAGGGTAGTGACTGCACAGTTGTGAAAAAGGAAAACACAGTTAAAGAAAAAGGATCTTAGGACTGTTGAAATCTGTTTATCCTGAAACACCTATGGCTTGACTTTGTGGCTGATCCAGATTATTTTCTTTGCATCGGGGAGATTTACTTGCATAGTCACTGTAAGGAATGGTTTTGCAAGAATAAATTGGGACCAAGATAAACTGCCAATAGAAGAGTCCACTGATAACTGATTACATGAGAAAAAGTAATATAGCCAACTTAGGACACCAGATGTCTCAGAGTTATTTGGACAGAAAGCCTATTGAGAAAACTTTTAAGTTTCCACTGTGTGATCTCTCTGAGCTATAGTTATCAAAGGCTAAGTTTTTAGTGTGATAAATTGAATATTATTAGTATCTCAGAAGTATAAGCAAACCCAAAAAGAAGTATGTATCATGTGTACTATATCTTAACATGTTTGCAAGGGCATCTGAAATTTTATTTGTACATGTATCTTGATCATTTTTAAAGCTACTGTGATCTGTAATTCAAGAAAATTCATTATCTTAATCATTTTTTAAAGTAAAAAATGAAGAGATCTTTAGTAAATTTTCAGATTCAGACATTAAAATGTATGTGAAAGTACAAAGAAAACAAACTATTTCTAATACCTTTATATCATAGAGAAATTTTCTGTTTTACTTTCTCTAGTTTTCATTTAACTTTACAGGGAAAAGACAGGTTGAACTTCATAACTCAAGAACTGTTAAGTGAAAATGTCAATTAAAAGGAAGGCCCTACATTGAAAAAAGACCTTATGAACAGTTACGACGTCAACCTTTAAAGGTTTTAAACCTATCCAGAAATTTCTGACGTTTCCCTGTCTCCTCCTCTAATTAAGCTTGTTGTTATTGGTTATGCACCAGCATTTGAGATAATAAAATTTCTTGTTCTGTGTATTTTGTTTGGCTAATAATTAGTATGCATACAAACTTTATATACTATCTTTATTGTATTCTGTTTTGTTGTATTATTGCAACCACCTGATGATTTAAATTTAACCACTATAAGGAAAAGTTCCAGCTTCAAATACATGATTTGCAAATTAATCTGTGAAAACTAAATTTAGTCAATTCCTATAAGAGAATTTGCCAACCTGGGGAAACTTGCCCTATTAATCAACATGTTGCTGTGGTTATTTTATTCAGGTTCTAAAGTTCTATGGTAATTATGTCAGAAGGCTGTGACCAGTAAAACAGTATATCGGGAGGTCTTATGATCAACAAAAAAGTATCAGATGTCCCCGTTCCATTATGGCAGTAAAAGATGCAACAACTTGGAGCCTTAGGGGGTTTGTTTTCTGTAAAATACGGGACTGACAGGGATAATCATAATCACTAACACTAGTTTGGTGGGGAGGAAGAGAGAGATGGGGGAAAGACTAGACAGGAGGTAACACTTACACTTCACAATTCTGCTTCTCCCATACCTGGCTTCCCTCACCGCATTTTCAGACAGCTTATAGCTGCAGTTAAGTGAGTCTGTGGATAAATGTTTGTGTGGCATGAATCAACAGTTCGGGGGGTGGGGGGAGATGCCAGTACATGATGAACTGTGACCAGCTGCATTTACCTCTAGATAAAGATGTTAGGAATTAGGCTCAGAAAAAGCAGGTCTACAAACTGGGAGGTGTAATTCTGTTTGTCTGGGACTGAATGGGGAGCAAGAGTTGGGGAGGAGGAAACCACTCCCTGTTGGGTTTGAAGGCTTATTTTTCAGAGAAAGACCTGCATTCTGCAACTGACTCCTAGTGATTGTTTTTTGGTCTTAAAAATAGGCAATGAACTGAGAGACCACTGAAATTAATACTTACTAATTTACTGAAGGTAGAAAACGGTAACATTTTCAACACTCCTATTAGGAGTGTATAATCACTTGTATTTCTATTATATATTAACGTTATCACAGACTGGAACCAACCTACCTAATTCAAATCTACGCTCCACTTCTTACTAGCTTTGTAACTAGCTAAAATAATATTTCTGCCTCGGGGTCCTGAATTGGAAGTAGGGATAATTAAATATATGTATATCTTCATTTAATGGGAAATAAAGACAAATGATAACAGAGATTAGGGGAAAAAAAGCAGTCTTCATTTAATAGGAACTAATGAAAGGATTCTGGGGAAATTCTGATCCTGGTTTTGTGATGTGGGGAAAAGGAACTTAAAGAAGCTTATGAGTGTGATTTGGGGAGCATTTTCTGGATCTGTTCATAATATTAACAAATGTGCTTAAGTAGATATCCCACATTGACTGCCTTAAGGACACACATCTGTTTTGTTTGGCTTATGCTTTTAATTTTAATTTATTAATTAAAGACCAACACTTCATAACTGAGAGAGCAGTAAAACTCTCTCTTTTTTTTCTTTTTTCTTTTTCCCCAAAGTGGGACATCTGGCAGTTCTTGACCTCCAGTGACATGGGAAAACGCATTCAGTTCACCTTTACATAGGGAAGGTATACTATTTGCCATGTTCCCCGGTGTTGTCTCCCTAACAGGGAGTCCAAGTGGCACTCACCATTTATCACTGTACTTGTACCTTTGTATTTTCTTGTATCTGAACACTGCATTACCTGCCTGGCCTCCATCAATATTTGAGACTAAAGGATGTCTCTATTTTCTGCTTGTTTTACCCTCCTTATCTCTATTACCCTTCTCAATTTCAGTAGCTGTTAGAGCTGGTGGTAGGAGATGTAGAAATGAATAAAGAAATGGTATGAATGGAAGCTACTGAGATTGACATTTTAGCTTAATGCCCTAAAATACTATATTAAAGTATGTCAAGGAAGTCTGTTGCTTGAATTTTTAAAACAAGGAATACACACACACACACACACACACAAAAAAAAAAAATTAAACCCTAGTATTTGCTTTTCCAAAATGTATTTTGCCATCCCAAAATATGGTAAGTTTTAAAAACAGCAAGCATTATGTGTTTAATATAGTTTTATTTCCTACCTCTGAGATATTTTCTGGAAGTGAATAGTTATATTTTTAAAGTTTTCAGTGGCTGAAAATAAATGTGAACCATCTGACCCATAAAAGCTCTGTCATCTATGAATGTATCTATAAACTTGGACCTGTTTATGTTTTCAGTCCAAAGTATATCTTAGAAGTTAAGGGAGAGGGAGGCATTAATATATCTTTGTATTTATCTTAGAACTTCAAAGGGTAGCTTTTTAAACGGAGAATAATGAATAAATCCGTTTCTCATGCTACATCCATGAAGTCACTTCTCTGCTGCCTTCATCCCTGGAGCATTTAAGTTGCCCCTTTGATGGAATGTACAAAGCTTCTTGAGTTTAAGCACGTGGAGTGTGGCACATCTTTTCATACACCGCCCCCCTCCCCCCAGCCATTTCCCCCAGGCCTGAAGAATAGTTCTAAATTATTTGACTTTGGTCCCCATTCGAGAAGTGAGCTGAACACAACCCCATTCCATGCCACCAGTGCAGAAAGATGGGACTCACTCTCAAAGCTACCTCATTGCTGTAACTACTGGTAGTGGAACCCATCCACATCACTGTCCCTGCTGTTCTGCCAGAAAGATGATGAATGTGTGGCAGTACCACCTCTAATTGCAGTGGCCTGGGGGAGGGAGGTAGTAGAGGTGAATGAGATGCCGAGAATAAACTAGACCCCCTACCACACACACCACATCCCTATTCTTCCTAAATTCCCCATTTCTCAGTCACCCTGTGGAAAAAGGCAGGCATTTTTCAGATGCTCATTAGATTCTGCACATAAGGCTGTCACTAGATTGGCTCTAGCTCTGCCTACTCGTCCTTCCCTATAAAACTCTGAGATAATTCAAGGGCTGCTAGATTCAATGAAATCTCATAACTAAAAAGCATTAAATATCCCTGGTACCATACTTGTGGGTGAAAACTAAAAATAAGTTTTAAATCTACAAATGTCCTGAAGATAAAGCATCTGAAAGACTGAATGTTTCTACTTCCACCCAGATACATTGCATCGTCCAAGTACAGCCCCAAATGTTCTTCTGTCATTATGCCAGTGGCATCACCTCTCTTGGATAACCAATGAGGACCCAACTGGACAGGAATCTATTTTGACTGCTTCATATTTAGCATTTTCTCTAGGATTATTTATACTACTGTGTAATCAATGTATTTTATTCTGCTTTTGAATTTTAAAAATAAAACAGCCCTCAAAACCGCAAGTGAATTTTTTGGTAAAAAATGGAAGTAAAAATGTATATAATTGTACCTCTGTGTTACTGACAATTCTATAATGTTATGTAATATGCTTCCCCTGTTAAGTACAGAGTTCTCAAAGAAGAATGCCTGAGTAAATAATAACAATAGGTGCCATGTGGCTGGCACTGTGCTAAGTGATTTGCATCCACGATCTTATCTAGTCATCTTAATACCCCTATGAGACATACTACTGCTAAATCCATCCCCTCAGAAACTCTATGAATAGGTACCATAACCCTCATTTCACTGATGAGGAAAACTGAGTGGTAGGGTAACTTGCTCATTCATAGCAAAGCCAGAATTTCAACCTTTATGTGACCTCAATATCTCTTCCTGTTTTATCACTGCCAAGTGCACACTAGACCTTCCACGAGTTCCTGATGAACAGCACTCTGTACAGTAAAACCTTAAATATTAAAATCTCAAATCACTAGATAGTATAAAAAGAAAAACTACTCTAACACACACAAATAACCTGATATAAGGAATTTAGCTTAAAAAATAAAAAGCAAGTCTAAAAGTGTCCTATTTTAAGGGACACATTCAGCCCAATGCCTGTACGTCTTTAATATTTGCTTCAGCAATGCTGTTCTTCAAGAAAAAAGGTTAGCGATGAAAACTCGGGCACACCATAGTATCATAAATCATCAAAGATTTAAAAATTATGTTTATACAATAACATTTTAGAAAGCTTTTGACCTCAAGGGTTGTAAGAAAGTGTTTTCTGCTTAAATTTCAATTAGCTATAACACAACCCTAATATCACCCTGCCTCTGTCTTTAATTCTGATCATGAAATCGCCTTCTATTTTTTTAATCCTCACCGGAAGACATGGGGAGAGGGAGGAGGAGGATAGGAGGAGGGGGAGAGGGAGGGGGAGGGCAGGGGGAGAGGGTGGGGGAGGGGAGGGGAGGGGGAGGGAGAGGGGGGAGGGGGAGGGGAGGGGGATTTAGAGATCAACCGGTTGCCTTCCATAAGGTCCCAGGCAGGGGATCAAACCCACAACCCAGGTATGTGCTATGACTAGAAACCAAACCTTTTGGTGCACAGGATGATGCTCTGCCAGCTGCACCACTCTGGCCGGGCTGAAATTGCTTTTTCTTCAGGGAGGGTTGGTGCAGAGTAATAAATGACTGATTCAAAAATAGGAGTTGCCGCCCTGGCCGGTTTGGCTCAGCGGTTAGAGCGTCGGCCTGCGGTCCGGAGAGACCCGGGTTCGGTTCCCGCTAAGGGCACGTACTTCGGTTGCAGTTTGTCCCCGGCCCTGGTTGGTCATGCGCGTGGCAGCCACTCGATGTGTCCCTTCACGTCGATGTTTCTCTCTCTCTCTCTCCCTTTCTCTCTCTCCCTCCCTCTCTATCTGTACAAAAAATGGAAAAATATCCTCGGGTGAGGATAAAAAAAAAAAAAAAATAGGAGTTGCCAAATGGTATTTACTATATTCTTTGCACCTGGTTCTTAATACAAAGCCAATTAGGTAAGGGGCAAGTATGCAAGCAGTTCAATGCCCCAGTGATGGGTTAGAAATGCTGTTCTAATTATTGTTATGTGCAAACCCTTGGCGAATTTTTCCCCCTGTGCCTTAGTAAAATTTAGGTACACTGTCTGAAACTTTTTTCTCTTTATTATGTCCAGGCTCTTTCAGAGAAATAGATAATATGTTAAGTTATAATGACATTCCTGGTCTTACCTGTTGGTTGTCAAGATTCATCAGTGTGAGGCTGCATGTTGAGATGGTCAGTTTAATATTCATTCCGGAAAACTGAAGATTACTTTTGCCAAGAACTGTTGATAGGAACTTAACTGGAGGCTTTAGAAAGAACAAAACACTCTAAGTTATGAATTTTGTTACAGAATAAATGTTTTTTAAATGTTAAAAATGGGTCAAAGTCTACACTCTTCCTCCTTATTTTACCTTACATAAATCAAGTGAGATGAAATGATACTTTTAATAAAATCTTTTTTAAAAATTGGAATGCACCTGGCCGGTGTAGCCCAGTTGGTTAGAGCATCGCCCCATACACCGAAAGGTCTCAGGTTCAACCCCCAGTTGGGGTGCCTACAGGAGGTAACCTAAGGATGTTTCTCTCTCACATTGATGTTTCTTTCTCTCTCCCCCTCTCCCTTCCTCTCTCTAAAATCAATAACAACATATCCTTGGATAAGGATCTTTTTAAATTTTGGAATGCAGCAAATTCTTTAGTAAGTAGTGAAAATAGAGCCCTCAGAACTTTTCTCATACATTCCTTTCTCCCCAAGTATTCGGAGTAGGGGCCTGGTCCATTTTATTTATTTATTTATTTAATCCTCACCCGAGGACATTTTTCCATTTTTTGTTCAGATAGAGTGGGAGGGAGAGAGAGAGAGAGAAACATTGACGTGAAAGGAACACATCGAGTGGTTGCCACCCGCACGACCCATTCAGGGCCGGGGACAAACTGCAACTGAGGTATGTGCCCCTAGCGGGAACCGAACTCGGGTCTCTCTGGACCGCAGGCCGAGGCTCTAACCGCTGAGCCAAACCGGCCAGGGCGGGGCCTGGTTTATATAAAAGGAATTCCTGTGAGAGTTTGGACTAGCGGAACTCTCCCGTCCTTTTGAACATCACAGGTATTAAAAATAAAAAGTTGCTGTCTTGATTTTTTTGTGATGATTAAGAATATGAGAAACAATATATCAAAATGTATGGGATGCCGCAGTGCTTAAGGAAAGAATTTATAGCTAATAAACTTACATTAAAAAAGAAGAAAGACCTCAAATCAATAACCTAGCTTTACAAATTAAGGCACCTGAAAAAAATAAACTAAACTCAAAACTAACAGAAGATTGGAGCACAAATAAATGATATAGAGATTAGAAAAACAAAGAGAAAAAAAAGTTGGTTCTTCAAAAAGATCAAAACTGACAAACCTTTAGTTAGATGGACTAAGAAAAAGACTCATGTGACTAAGATCAGAAATGAAAGTGGGGACATTACTACTGATTCAACAGAAATAAAAAAAAATTATAAGAACACTTTAAACAATTGAATGCCAACAAATTAGATTAGCTAAATGAGATATACAAATTTCTAGCAACATTAGACCTACCAAGACTAAGACATGAACAAGAGAAAATCTGTATAGACTTATAACTAGTAAAAAAAAAAAAAAGAAAAAAAGAAAGAAAGAAAGAAAACAGAAAATAATAAGTGTTGACAAGGATGTGGAGCAATTGAAACCTTGTGCATTATTAGTATGAATATAAGATGGTACAACCGCTATAGAAAACAATATGGCAGGTCCTCAAAAAATTGTAAGATCCAGCTATTATAGTTGTTAACACCCCAAAATTGAAAGCAGAGACTTGAACAGATATTTGGACATCCATGTTCACAGGTAAAATGTGGGAGCAACTCAGGTGTCCATTGATAGATAAATGGATAAGCAAAATGCATTATATACATACAATGGGATATTATTCACCTTTAAAAAAAAGTAAATTCTGATGCATGCTACAACATAGATGAACTTTGAGAACCTAATGCTAAGTGAAAAACACAAATACTGTATGATTCCACTTAAATGAAGTACTTAGAGTAGTTCAAATCATAGAGACAGAAAGCGGAATGGTGGATGAAATGTGCTTCCTATTGTCTATTTTCTTTATTCCAATAAAGCAGTTTCTCTCTCTCTCTCTCTCTCTCTCTCTCTCTCACACACACACACACACACACACACACACACACACACTAGAATGGAAAGAGGAATGGTAAGTAATTACTTAATGGGTATGAAATTTCAGTTTCACAAGATAAAAAGAGTTCTAGAGATGGATGGTGATGGTTGCACAACAACCTGAATGTACTTAGTATCACTAAATGGTACACTTATAAATGGTTAATAGGTAAATTTTATATTATGTATATTTTACCACAATTTTTTTAATTGGGGAAAAAAGAGTATTAGCAAATGCGAAGTACTTGGAAGAGTCCCTGGCATGTGGTAAGTATTCAATAAATACTAGCTGTCAAAGGAAATTAACAAAAAAATTTCCATTTTTATTCTTTAAAGGTGTATTTTCTGGAACAGTAGCAGCCTGGTTTGTTTTGTTTTGGGGTGTGGGCTCCCTACTCCTGAAATGAGAAAGTCTTAAATGAATGAACCTGTTTGTTGGAATCAGCCATTTGAAGCATCCTACTCACAGAAGTTCTGAGAAGTAGGAGGATGCTAAAGTCTACATTGAGGCCATGGGTTCTGTCAAAGTAACTAGAATAAGGGGTTCTAATAGAATTCAAAGGCCATGTATCAGAATTTTCCATACCATGTGGCTCATCTGAGGCATTCTGGGTTACATTGGGTTCAGCTCTATGCAAAATAATGCAGAATGATACAAAGTGAGGCAGGTGGTATGGAAATAGAGCACTAAGATGGGAATCTGAAGACCAGGCTTCCACAGCTGGCTCCGATCTTCATCATCCTAGTGACTCAAGGCAAATCTCGTCTCTGAGCCACAGTTTAGTAGCCAGCAAAATAACGGGGTTCGCCCAGAAGATATCGAAAACTTCCTTCCCTCTTAGACAGTTTACACTACTATGATTTATATAGTTATCTTAAGAGCCTTTACATCTCTCTTGGACTTTCCAAAGCAACTAAACATTCTAGGATTAATAGCTTAATAACAGTGATACTAATTACTATTATTGTTGAAAGTCTAATATGTGTCAGACACTGTGTTGGGCACTCTGTAGACATCATTTCATTTAATTTTCATACAACTCTGTAAAGTAAGTGCTATTTTCTCCCATTTTGCAGATGAGGAAACCAAGGATCCAAAAGGTGAAGTGACTTGTCCAAGGTCACACAGTTAGCAGTGTTAAAGAGAAAACCACAGACCCCAAATGGAGTCACTTGTGCTTGAAGCCCATGACACTGAGCCTAGATTTACCACTTGACCTAACTGCAGTTGCAACCTTCTCCAGGAATGTAATCCTAATCGGTAGTCTGGAATTTTCTGGTCGGTACCAGTGAGGTAATCTCTCACATGGGCTCTCTGCATCCTGAAAAGGAAACTGAGGCAATCTGTCTGATAAGACACCCCTGCCTTTCCCTAAGGAAAGGTAACCTTGCCTGAAACAATCCTTTTATTCTTTTCTTTTCTTTTGCTAATAACTTTCTTGTCTGGCAGTTTCTGCCTATAAAAGCCTTCTATATTATAGTTTCTCGGAGCACCTCTCTATTAGAGGGGATACTGCCTGATTCAAGAACCACTTGATAAAGCCAATTAGACCTTCACATTCTCTCAATAGAATTTTCTGTTCTTTAAAAGTAGGAGGCAGAGGCAGGATTTAAACCCAAGTCCCTCTAACATCAAAATTCATGCTCCTTCAACATGAAAAACTCCTTATCCCATGTTATCTTACCTCTACTGGCACCCATGTTTCCATTTGAAAACAGGCCAAGGAGTTTAAAATGTTAAAATGCAGAATATATATATTATATAATATTCAACTGGAAGGTACCAAACTGGTCATCTGGTTCAACAACTTAACTTTACAGGATCAAGAATGGAGTCTCAGAGGGAGGAGACACCACGTTCGAAGGAAAGACCCAGGCCTGGAACCCAGATGTTCGAACTTGAAACCCAGGTGCTTTCTCCCCTCTGCCACTCTGGACACCACTATTTAAGACAGTGTCAGGCAAGTCAGAAACAATTTGAGGGACCAGAGCAACTTTGAGTTGTATCTCTAATGTCATCCATCTAATAAAGGCCATCTGAACCTTAAGTCATATGGTAGAATGAACTAATAACTATTTCAGTTTTGTTTTTTCTTTTTGTTAATCCTCACCCGAGGATATTTTTTCATGGATTTTTAGACAGAGTAGAAGGGGGTTGGGGGAGAGAGAGAAAGAGAAACATTGATGTGAGAGAGACATATCAACTGGTTGCCTCCCACACGACCCTGACTGGGCTAGAAAACCTGCAACATAGGTACACGCCCTTGACCGGGAATCGAACCTAAGACCCTTGGCTCTGTAGGCCAGCGCTCTAACCGCTGAGCCAAACTGGCCAGGACCTAACTACTATTTTGATATCATCTTTCCTATAGTTGGGGGAACATAAAACAAGAAAACCACACCAATATTTACCTTTCGCTTTTTAATGGCTCCATTTACCCCAGGGACAGCTTCACACAGACGGCTTATTGCTTCCCTGTGGAAGAGAAACCATATAAAGACTTAGCATACTATCTAGCACGCAGTACATGTTCAATAGATGTTAGCAAGTATTATGACTAAAATGTACACACATATAATAGTGAGTCTGACCTAAACAACCTTCCCCACCCCCACAGGAGAAAACACCATCCTGATCACTTCTGCAGTTCAAACCCAAGAAAACCCAGCAACACCCTAGTACTGAAATTTGCTTTACAATAAGCAGTCCTACCATTCACCTTCATCTCTTTTTTTCCCTTGGCTTTTCAGGTTTATCTTTTAGTGCTGCTGGTTTTTAACCAGAAAGGAGGGGCAGAACTTTACTGTCTGAGACTATTTCACAGCTTAGCTTGAGCATAATCCTCTCTGTGGTGTTATGAATAAAAGCTTCATCGTATCTCAGCACCAAAGACAATCAAACACAAAAGAACCTGACACTGAAGGAAGTTGGAAAGGGTAGGGAGAGAACTAAACTTCAATGTGGTCTCAAATGGAGCCTTATTGACTAAGTTACTGCTACAAGCCATTGAGCTTTCGTGTAATTTCACAGAAGAAAAGAAAATCAATAACAAATTTCCTCCTTTGCTTATTTTTCTGCCCTCACTATACATTGCACTTCCTGAGAGAAAGGCACCGCGAAAATAAGCAGTTGTTCCTTAATGGAAGCGGTGAACGAACTGGCGCCCTCCTGGCCAGAAATGCTGTTAGAACTAAGAGCTTCTGTCTCTGGGACTCAGCATTCATAACCACCAGGCTTTCACTCGCGTAATATGAACCCTCGTCTTGTGGCTTTCAATACATATATTAAACTTTTCACAAAGCAAATGGAAATCTCTAAGCTCTTTCCCAGATTCCCTGGAGATCATTGTTTAAATTAGTAAACTATATTAACACACACACACACACTACAGTTTTCATATATATTATTCTATTCATGAAAATATTTTCTATGAGATGTTTTCGAATGGGGGAGCAGTCAGAGAGAGGAGAGAGAGAGAAAACGATTCTAGTAGACACTTTGGAAAGATAGTACAAGAATTCCCAAAGAATCTAGGCATCATTTTGGATTTTTAATTTATGCTTTAGTTCCAATTCTCCCCCCACCCCAGCCTCCCTGCCCACCCCCACCCAGAAAAATAAAACTCTTGTGCAAGGTATTATCTTGTCTTATTTTTGCATAATTACCTACAACCCAAAGATAGAATGACTTTGGAGTTTAGTGTATTTTCTCAGGATTTCATATTTATTGTTTCTCTAGGATTTCAAATTTTGTCTCTGGAATCAAATGGAAGGATAACATAGAGGGTTGGGTTCTTTTGTTTGGTTGATTGATGTTTTACATTATCTTAATGATTAATCAATAATTGATGAGACATATATACTTGATCCAAGTTGGCCTCTATCTAGTGTTGCCAAAGTAACTAGTGCAGGCACCCCACAATGTTGTTGATATTTAATAAAGAGGTATTATAAGAAAGGTGTTATCAGACCCAAAACTCCATGAGAGTCTACTGGTCTACTAGAGTGCTTTGGTCTAAAAGGCTCCTTGTAATTGGTTTGGAATAAAAGTAGAAACAAAGGTGGGCATTGATTATTGTAGAATAGTAGTAGTTATTATTAGAAGTTGTTACCTTTTATATAGTACCCTGTAGTTTTGTTTTTTTAAATCTTATATCATCTGTCAGTATCTTCTAACAAAAAGTCATGTTGTGAACTGGAATTAAAGAGAATGCTTGATAGCATGAGCACCTCTCAAGGATGGTTTCGAAGGATGAATTTTCCTGGCAGAGTGGAGTTTGAAAATTCTAGACAGAAGGAAGAATGTGTACAAAGACACCAAATCATAAATGATCATGGTATGAGGGGAACTACACATCCTCTATATATTGCTAGAGTGTGGTAAAGCAAGAGTGAATAAGAGCTTGATGGAGTCTGAACACCTTTTCAGTGAAGGACCAGAGAGTAAATATTTCAGGCTTCCCTGTTGCAATTACTGGGCTCTGCCATTGTAACTCAAAAGCAGCCACAGACAGTATGTAAGCAATGAGCATGGCTGTATTCCAGTAAAATGTTATTTCTAAAAACAGGCAGCTTGCGAACCCATAGATTAGATAATTCACACAAAAGCAGATGGAAATAGTTCAGTTTTAAAAAACAGTTACATTGCCCTGGCTAGGTAGCCCAGTTGGTTAGAGCATCTTCTTGATGCACCAAGGTGTGGGTTTGATCCCCAGTCAGGGCACATACAGGAATCAACCAACAAATGCATAAATAAGTGGAACAACAAATCTTTCTTTCTTTCTTTCTTTCTTTCTTTCTTTCTTTCTTTCTTTCTCTCTCTCTCTCTCTCTCTCTCTCTCAAAATCAATCAATAAGAAAATTTTAAAACGAAAATGCTTATCTTTATTATAATTTTAAAATTGAAACAACTACAAGATCCACCCTTTGCTCTCATTAAATTAGCAAAAATGAAAATTACAAAATTCAGGGAGTAGGAGTGGGAAGGAAGGGGTCAAGAGGGGAAAAAGGAGGACATCTGTAATACTTTAAACAATTTAAAAAATAAAATAAAATTGGGGATTCAACACACAAAAAATAAATTAATTAAATGTATAAGAAAAGAAAAAAATACAAAATTCTATGTAGGAAAAGATGAGAATAATTTCACTTTAGATATATTTATCCATTGCTGGGGGCCTTGGTTAGTATTCACGTAACCTTTCTAGAGAGTAAGTTGGTAAAAGACGACATAGGTCATAAAATTTATCAGCACTGTTGAGGAGGGAGGGAGAATTTGTATTGAAATAGCACTGAGTATGTATATTAAAAAACATTTATCTTAGAGTAAAACACCAACACCAAAGCTGTGATAGACATAGAGAACATATTGCCACTTGGAATGTTAAGTATGATATGAGGACTATAAAAATATGGGGGGGTAATCTATATAAATTAGTGGGGGAAAAGTATAACCTGAATGGTGTATATACATTGGTAGCAGCCACATAAAATTAATTCTGTATAAGTAATGATACAGAAAGAGTTTATAAACAGTGAGTTGACTGAGGTGGGTTTTGGGGGGGTGGGTTGTGTGTGTGTGTGTGGTTTATTTCTTGTTTTTTATTTTATTGATATTAGATGTAAAGAGCATATGTTTTATTGTGCAGTTGATTGGATAAATAATCTTTTGAAATATTCAAAGAAATGCAAGTGCGGTCCCTCGGCGGTCTGCTCCTGTGCTGTGGACATGTGAGGACACATCGAGGATGTCCCAGTGAAGAGGTGAAACGGTCTTTCTCTCTCTTGCCATCCCCACAGACAGCTGGGACAGTGTTCATGCTACAGATAATAGATCTTCTCTCTCTGCTCTCGCCCCAGCTTAGCCTTTAACTCCTAAATCCAGATTTATCTTTCAGTTCATTTGTTAGACTTGACTGTTTCCATTTCCCAAGTTCCATGAAGGGAAAACACCTTGACCAGGCACAGCAACATTTCACGCTAGAAATGCCGACTGCGGCATGCTGTAGTGGAAAGCCAGGGTTTCAGCGAGGGAGCAGCTCCGTGTGTACGGCCAGGTCCAGCCTCAGTGAGTCTAAGCAATGTCATTTCGAGGTAGGTATTTTACCCCCATTTTACAAATGAGTAAACTAAAATTCAATGGATTTAAATACCTGACTCTGGCCCGGCCGGTGTGGCTCAGTGGTTGAGTGTCGACCCATGCACCAAGAGGTTGCCAGTTCACTTCCTGCTCAGGGCACATGCCCAGGTTGTGGACCTGATCACCAGTGGGGGGCATGCAGGAGGCGGCCAATCAATGTTCTCTCTCATCAAGGTTTCTATCTCTCCCTCTCCCTTCCTCTCTCTCTCTACATCAATAAAGAAAAGAAAAAAAATACCTGACTCCAAATAATACAGCTGATAGTGAGAGAGACAAAATGCAAATCCAGGTCTGAAACAAAACCTACACTCACCCAGGGAGGGATCATGTTGTCAGGTGTATGAAAAAAACAGAGTCCCAGGCTCCTGGACCTAGGGGAAGACCTATATTGGGTGTCCTTCCTTTGCTCACTCCCTGACACAGTGCGGGCTCCTTTTTGGCTGATCCTTGTGTCAATGTGGCTGAAATATAAGGTTATAGGGCCAACTGGCAGGGGTAACCTCTGGAGGTGGCTCACCTGGAGGCCCCTACCCTTTCTCAGCCCTCTGCTTTCCATACATGGGCTGTTACCTTCTTGTGTTATCCAGAGCCCATCCCTATGCCCAAGCAGGCGGCACACACATGTGCACAGACAGTCAGAACTTCGTGGAGTTTTTTCTTTATTGATTTTTAGAGACAGAGGGAGAGAAACATCCCTGAGCGAAAACATTGATTGGCCACCTCCTGCACGCCCCCCACTGGGGATCAGGCCCACAACCTGGGCATGTGCCCTGACTGGGAATCAAACCGGGACCTCTTGGTGCATGGGTTGATGCTCAACCACTGAGCCACACTGGCCGGGCACTCAGTCAGAACTTTAAAGTCAGCTGAGGCACAGGAGCCTTCACGGATTCTGAGAATCTCTCGATACACAACTTTGCTTAGAAGAAAAGAGAGGAAACTTGTGCTTATGAACTTGCTTGTAGAAAGTAGTTATATTGTACACCATGCTCACAGCAGTATTATTCACAATAGCTAAACCGCAGACGCAACCCAAGTCTCAATCTGCATGGGGAAGCAAAATGCGATACTGCATATACATACAATGGAATATTATTCAGCCTTCAAAGGGAAGGAAATGCTGCAATAGGCCTTGCATAGATGAACCTTGAGGTCACTATGCTAAGTGAAATAAGGTGGTCACAAAAAGATAAGTTGTCATGATTGCACTTTCGTGAGTTGTCTGGAGTAGTCAGATTCATAGAGGCAGGAAGTGGATGGGGTTGGTCAGGGGCCTGGGGAGGGGAGAATGGGGAACTATTGCTTAACGGGCATAGACTTTAGTTTGACAAGATGAA